ACGCAGTGGAAACATCTTGGTATTTTAGCTGACATGTCTTGGAAGAATACATGCTGCGCGAGAATAGTGTCTTCAATTTTCACAAAAGTGGGTTGAACAGGATTGCAAAACGTAACTGAAACAAACTCCTATTAAGGCTCCAAGCTTAGAAAAATGCACTGCGACAATACTGGAGAAATTGTTAGCGGGTTGGATGCTGCCCAAGGCTCTTTTAGGGTTAATATAACCGTTAAACCAAATTCTTTAAAATCAACATGTAGTTGACAGAGCGAGTCCGCAACGACAGTGAAAGATCCGATCCAACATACCTGTTTTTGCTCATCGGTGAAGCCTCCCAGGTCGTCGTTCAACCACACTGACAGCCAGTAGTTGTTGAAGGTGAACATGGCCATCATCACGACAAACACAAAGAGAGACAGGAGAACAGGGAACACACCCCCCATAGCCTTCATGTAGCCGAGGTATGTCTCAAGCTTCACCTTACCCGATCCGGTCTCCTCTTCCGTGATCAGTGTACCTGCCGATTGATCGGGTATGCACATACGAGGCAAAGTTTTTAAAAAACAACAAAACAGGTGCTGTTGCCCGGAGGCGTGGGGAGGGGTGACGTGGGAGTTTTGAATCTCTGTTGCCAAAAAAATAATCAATGCATAAAATGAACAACCAACTCAAGCGTCGAATTAAGTGCCATAAAAACATTCCTTTGTCACGGTTCACCCTACTAATTAATAGTTATTTATGATTGGTCTAGTAAACAGTCATCAAACGTCCCCTTAAGACCAAGGGAGGGCAAACTAGATTTTAAAAAAAAAGGGTGGTCCAATTTTTTCATCTGTGAAAAATCCCCCAAAGAAAGTAGGCAGTAATTCTGGTGCCTTCAATTAAACAAAAGTCAAGATTTCACAGGCCGTACTGGATAAACCACTGCATGGTCTTGTACTGGTCCGAACTACAAAGCTTGTACTTGAGGGCTACTTTTCCTTTTCAAAATAGACGAACTCTTCTGTGATAAACAAGTCGCCATCCTTGACACACTCACCATCATTGGCAGGGGGCGCTTGCCCGGCCTGGCCTTCGGTCTCTGTCTCGGACAGTGGCATCAGCACGCTGTCGGCCCGGGAGCGGGTGCTGAGGACACTGAGCGCGCGGGTCAGCCTGCGGCCCATCTCCTGTGTCACATCCTCATTGTCGGACTCCTGGTCCTCCTGTTTGGTGTGGAAGGTTTCAATGAGGTTGGCGTACAGGCCTCCCTTGGCCATCAGCTCCTCGTGGGTGCCACGCTCGGCGATGCGGCCCTCCTCCATGGTGACCACGACGTCACAGTCTTTGAGGTACTGCAAAAGTAGATGCCAATTTGGATTAAAAAGGCCCATCCTTCACGGCTTGCATCTTGGGTTACATCTCCCACAAAACAATTGAACTTCAGGCCAGTTCATATTGAATCAGATGCAAATTTGCAGGCAAAAATTGGCCACTACGTCACAAGCACAGACAAGCTCGACTACTTTCCCCCTTCACTGTTTGGGTAGTGTGCCACCACTACTTCACATTTCCCTGAAAGCAATGTTCAGGAGCTCCACAGCCGCCTTGCAACATTATGAACTAGTCTTTATAGCATACACCTTCGCTCATTGAGTATTATCAACCAAAAACTGAACAGAAAACTGTCTGCGAGGTTCAAACTTAATCCAAACAGCAAAGCCACTGTTTAACCATCAGTACAACCTCTAGACACCGTTCGCTTCAAATCAAATCAATCTTCTCTGACCGACAAGAAAAACCTCTTTCCAGTTGTAATGTTCATCATACCTAAAGCAGTTCTATTTCAACAGTATAAACCGGGGAATCCAGTTAGCTGGACTCAAGGATTTGCCACCAACTTTCTCAAAATAAGCTCAGATGATTTAAAACTAGAATACAGCTGAACAACCAAATTTAATGCCCGACAGTTTGAAAGCTGAAGCTGGGCTATAGCAGACATCTTTTGCTTGCAAAAGCATCACTCTTTACCTGAAGTTGGTGGGTGACAAACAGCACCGTCTTCCCTCGGAGGGCACCGCTGATGCACTCCTCAAAGATATGCTTCCCCACGTGGGCGTCGACGGCACTGAGAGGGTCATCCAGTAGGTAGACATCACGGTCCGAGTACAGGGCACGGGCCAGACTGATCCGCTGTTTCTGCCCGCCGCTCATGTTCAGTCCTCGCTCGCCAATCTGCGATCCCCCAACAATAATCAGGCAAAGACCATCAGCGGTGTGAAAAACAGCACCACACTGATGTTGACGTGTGGCTCTGATATCTACATGGGCCTCGGTTGCTACTCAAAATGGGGGGAGGGCCTTCAAAAACCAGCAAAGGCTCTAAGGTGAAATCTTTTCTGCAGCAGAGCAAAGGCCTATCCCTGTTCTAAAAATGACTATCCAAGACACTTCGGCAATCTAGAGAGGCAGGTTAAAATTTTGTGATCATTTTATTCCCTCCGCCCTAATAGCATGCATTCTATTCTTACTGTAAGGCTCAGCTCATTAACTATAGAGTGGACATTATAATTTTCGTATCATACTGATTAAATCCAGACACTCCAATTCAAATATTTCAAATACATTAAATGTGCACCACGGCTGAGTGACATTCGAAAGAGGTTACTACAACATGTCCTCTTAACATAACAAAACGTTGTGGTTACAAACATACTTTGTCACGGCATTCAAAGACTGTCATTACCTAATTTGCATACCACAACTTTCTGGTAATGTAATGACAGAGTTAGGCATTTGTTGGGAAGCCGAAGACTAAAGCACTCACTTTCACGTGCACGGACCCCAGGGTCTTGTATGGCACAATCCCAAGCACTGAGCTTCCTAAATGCCCATTATCCACCCTTCTTGTTCTCAAGTGTGACAGCTGATCGCTGACACCATCTTCTCATCAACTCAATCCTTAGATGTAAGCCTTGTGCATATCTTCAGCCAATGGATGTGAACGATTGCTGTCGTATTTCAATGTTGAATCCGTAAGATGCAACTGCCCAAATGGTTGATTTATGCATCCATCTATAAATACCTCTGTCTGATCCCCAAACGGGAGAATCTCCAGATCCATCTTCAGGCTGCAGGCCCAGATGACACGGTCATACTTGTCCTCGTCGTACGGCTGGCCGAAGAGGATGTTCTCCCGGAGCGTGGCGTTGAAGAGCCAAGCTTCCTGGGCAGCGTAAGCGATGGAGCCGCTCACCACGCAGTGCCCCTTGGGGCGGTGCATGTTGTTCAGGATGGCCGACACCAGGGAGGTCTTGCCACTGCCCACGCCCCCGCAGACACCCGTCAGCTTCCCCTGTATAACCAGAGTCAGCAGATGGGTCCAAGGTGACAATGGAGATAGCGTCTCTAACAACTACTAAACACGTTTTGGGGTCGAGTCAATCGATCCTTTCACAAGTCCCTCTTATACAAGTCCAGTCACGTGCCAAACCTCTGACAAGGCCAGTCACTATAGTGGTAGGGTGAACTGTGGCGCTATTAACAGATTCTGACTAAACTGGTTACAGGTTGGATGACTGGTGACGGACTTGAGACAGAAGTTCGGGGGATATTGATGGACTCGACCACAGCACCAATTACTTCAGTGGGTTCTATTCCCTAATAACTTGTACCTTAGTCCCACCTGCCAGAAAGTCTCCCTCTACTTAATCAATGAGTTTTGGCCTCCTCGGGAATTTTTTTTTTGGAAATTCCTGTACCTTCCAAAGGATGAACCCATGTTTAGCTTGATAACTTCATCCCTCCTGCCAGCACCTTTTCCTCCCTTTGCAAATTTATTGAGTTGGCCTCCACTGAGGAAATTTCTGATTTGTACTGCATGTTCTAAGCTCTCCTCGACTTTTGACAGAAAATTGTTTAGGTGGTCAACAAAAACTTTGATTGCTAATTACTCATCCAGACACCTTCCCTACTTGTTCACTGAGCTTGCCAGTGCTAGCTAATTGGTTCAAACGGGATGTCACAGCTTTTTAGTCGATTGTTGACTTTTGTTGAACATTTCCTTTCTCAAAAGGTTTTGTGAACTTGGGAAAGCCCAGAAATGTCCGTACCTTGGGGAGAATAAAGTTGATATCGAAGAGTGTATCCACAATCTGGGAGCGATTCAGAGGCTTGACCGGGGCGTGCCTTGCCCCTTCAATCAGCTGATCGATCTCAGTGCTGTTCCAGCTCTTGCGTCGCTTGCAGTCGGTCACGCTATTAGGCTCCTCCTCCTTGGAAGACGGTGCCTCCTTTCTCTTCTTCATAGGGATGTCGTTGCCGACTTTTGGGAGTGGGGTGGTGCTTCCGTGAGACGAGGAATCACTTCCTTCTTCGTCCGAGCTGGACAGGTCCTCCAACTCCACCTTGGGGAAGACGAATAATGTTCACTAACCAAAACTGTCGTGCGTAAATGAACACGCCCCTGACACTATGACATGCCATACAAGGGCGAACTAAATGGGCTTCGAGGTGGACAAAGAGAGGGTTCTTTTTTTTCTTAGCAACGGAGGCTCCTTCGTTTGGAACTGAACTTCGTTGGTTCAAGAGCGACTAGGAAATACACGCTTCACAGTGCCATCGCTACCAACAAAAGGAACATTCCCAACCAACGAGGCTCTTTTCAACCCACGACGGGGTGCTTCTGCTCAAGGCGAATAGGGCAATCACTTTTGCATCATTGCTCGATAAGCACGGCCTTGTTTTTGTTCTGACAGAAAGTATATTGGGTACATGCTTTGTGTAAATTCAAGCCAATCGCGTTTACATAACAGCCATCGTGGACTTTGGAAACCTAGAAAGACAGGCCTACATAAAATTTCACATTTGGCTTTTAGCCCTTCACCGGCAAATATTTAGAAACACTGCATAGGACTTGGATCCATCCAGGGGGTTGCGAAACATTTCTACAGCTCTCTCGAAAGAGATTGGAATCTACAGTACATTTTGTGTCTCTCTAAAGCATTCAGCCATCAAGAATGCTGGGTTCAGCTTGCAGGTTTGAATTGGAAAAGCATTGGGCACATTGTCTCCCAAAACATTCCACACAGGGCAAAAGCACAGTATACCTGGACGCTGAAATCTTCACGGGGGGTCCTCTTGGTGGGCTTGGCGTAGATGGGGTTCTCCTGCTTGTTGTCAGCGGCAGTGCCGGAGTCAGCAGGCGCATTGTCGTCCTTCACCTTGTCCCAGGCAAAGGTGGCATCCTTGATGATGACGCCGTAGTCGTCGTTCTTCTCCATGCGGCTGATTGGGACGGCAGGTTCCATAATCAAGATGCTCTGCGAAGAATCAACAGCAGAGTTAATTCTTATAATTTGTTGTTGTAATATTCGCATGTGAGTTTTTACTCATGCTTTAAGACATTTTTGCCAACCAGCAGCCTGCATGACCTGTGCTTGTGGCGTAGCAAAAGAAAGGTCTTCGCCGAGACGATGTTGCCAGTTAGGCAAGATGTCATGCCTAACAAGACCAGAACGTGGCGTCTCAGTGTGGTATCGCTCGGGTTGTCAAAATGCGGCGGTTCAACGCCCTATGAGTCCCGAAATGGACAAGGAGAGGGCGCAATTTCTCTAGCAATGCAGGCTCCTTGGGTGGCAGCTGCACTTTGCTGGTTCACAAATGACTATAAATGCAGGCGTTATGGTCGCATCGCTATACCAACAACATGAGCACTCCCGACCAACATGGCTCTTTTCAATCGATGAGGGGGGCTTCTGCTCAAGGTGGATTGCATGTTTTGCCTGCTCTAGGTGCACATTTCAACGGTCTTGTGTTTTGTTTCAGGGAGGGGTTTTCATGAAATTTTTGATCATACAGACGAGCTACTACATTATCACCATTGGTGAAGCCATCTAATCTTTTTGTTTTGTCCTTAACCATACTCACAAAATAAGACCCCACATGGTCTACGCTTTGTAGGGGGATCATCAAAATTAGACGTAAGCCCCTAATTAATGGCAATAAGCATGGGAGTTTGACCCCCACCCCCGCACCTGCTAAAAACCTTACTCACCCGCAGCCTGTCGATGGCAATCTTGGCCTCAGCGAGCGCACGAATGGCCCAGGGTGTGGGCCCCAAGACCAAGCCCAGCGAGTTGAAGACAGACACGAGAGTGAAAGCCTACACAGAAGTCAAAACAACCGATGTGCAATAAAGGTTTTGTGTTTTTGTTTTCTAAACAAAAGTTGTGAGAAGGACACAAAGACACCACGTGGCAGGCGACATCCACACATACAGTCCCCATAAGGATGGCTGGCTAACGGTTAAACTGCCAAGCACGCCTTGTTTCACCACCGATAGTGGGCACATGTAAACCCTTATTCGATCCACCATTTGTTTTTTACGCACACATTCATACAAAGTCTGAGTTCCAAGTACATGTACATAAGAGTAGAGCGTGTTTTATGGGGACATGTGGCCGAGTGGATAGGGTTTGTAGCTTCTGATAATAAGATCAGGGGTTCGAATCCAGCCAGTGGCAGCATGTTGCAACCTCGGGCAAGCCACTTTACCCCATGGCTTCTCTCCAACCAGGGATGCATGGGTACCTGTGAGGGCGGACACGGCTATGTTTCGCCATTTGCGCCAAAAAGGGCTGCATCAGGCTAGTATACTCCCCAGAGAGCTGAGATGATGTCAGGAATGTTGTTCAGATGATGTGAGCCCAATGTGCAGGGATAACAACAAGCGTATGGGTGCAGCCATATAAGAACTGACTGCTATTTTCTTGAATATGACCACTGTACAAGGCATATTGAACAGTCAGGACGAACCCTGCAAGTCAACACTTGGGTCGTTTGGCTTTTACTCAAAATATTTGGTGTTATACCTCATCTGTTGGAATGCTAAACTTAATTTTCAGTCAAGATCATCACACGGTCCTGAAGTGGTTAAAGACTAGGACTGCTGGTTGGGATATATTGGAGACATCATTTAACTGGACTTTCTTCAACTACAAAAAGAAACAACTTGATCTTATTGATCACGCCTGGGTATTTGTTGACCGGCTATGGGCTGTGCGGGATCGACTCACCTTGGCTGAATCTAGATCGTCGATGGCCCTAGTCAGGACGACAATAACGATGGTGAGAACAGTGGCCACGTTCGGGGTCACCGGGAAAACAGCGGCAGTCATGCTCGACAAGTAACCCGCCTTCTCCAAATAACCTCGCTCCTTCTTCCGTATCACTGAGGAAACGGCATAGATAAAGGGGGAAAAACATGCACAACTGATCAGACGAGACAGCAAGTCTTAAAGTCATCTGTGTTACATCTACGATGTTTCATTGATAAGCGACCTATACTGTCCGGATAATATCTCAAAATGACAGGAAATCCCCAAACCTGTTGTGAAGCAAGACTTTAACAGTTATAAAGAGCTTTTTCACCCACGTGACTGGATTGCGCTTAATGTAAACAATACCACCACCTGTGGACTGCCTTGGCCACAGTGATCGCATATATTCCTACGGGCAGCTTCAACCACGTGCAAGCGCACGCGTGCGAACGCTGCATGCTTGACTAGTTTATCTTGAAAAAGTAGATTACCATCACAACACGATGCACTCACTACCATCACAACACATCTCAGTTCAGCACGATTGTGACATCACAGGAAAAAGGTCTATACAAGCCGTGTTTTAGAGAATTTCTCAAAACTTGAAATGGCTACAGAAGGATTCAACAAGGGCATGACCTGTTTCACTTTAGGGATACCTGCTGTTCAGCGTGAGAACCCGCGTGTGTTCCCAAGTTTCCCCCTTGCCTCTCCCCCTCCCCCTTGCCAAGTTAATTTGAGCCACAGGCTAAGCGTGATGCAAAAAAGGGGGGCACATACTCGCAATGTCCTTGGAGAAGGGTACCTCCCACGCGTACATCTTGATCAACTTGACGTAGGTGAGTAGCTCGTTCATCTTCTGAACCCGCAGGTCCGTCACTTTGATGCTCTTCTGCCGGATCATGGACTGCAACTTCCCCAAAACGATCTGGTGACCAAAGCAATGACATTGGCATAATTAAGTCACTTCGCAGCTATGGTCAACATTTTATGCAGAGGGGTGGTCATCCTTGCATGCCTATTACTGTTCGGGTCCCTCAACCTTCCATGCCAATCTGCTCCCAGTACAGGATCGGACTAAGGGCAAAATTGATCAGTCTTTTTTTAAAAAGGGAACCGCCAATTTTGACGTTTTGAAAATTGGATGATGTTGTGATTTTTAGGCACTGTCACTGTCAAACTGCACACTTTCTCTCAGTACAGTTATCACAAGTCTCTACTTACAACCTGCAATTTTATTGAAAATTAATTTCTTTCAGATGTTTGACCCCATATACCCCCCATTTAAGTTGAAGATCATTTCTCCCTACAAGTATACATTTGTATAAACTTTGCTTGTGTAAAAGTAAACGGTATTCCCTACAGCTAGCAGTTAGAACACTTGCTCGCCTACTCTAGTAGCCAGTGGAGTATCCAGCAGGAGGGGGGAACCCCACCCCCCACAACTGGTTATTTTTTACAAAGAATACTTCATAGGTGAAAGTAATTAGGTAGATTTATTTTTCAAATGTTAGCACCAAAACCCTAAGAAAACAACACAAGAAAATAAAAGCAAGGATGTCGGGATAGTAATGCTTTCGATTTCTTTTCTCCCTAATATCTTGTTGAATAAAGCCCAAAGCCGCGTTATGCTTTTACATTTGCCCCCAGACACCAAATGCTGGATACACCACTGATTGTGCCTGTGACAATTAGTCGTGTTTTCCCCTGTATGCAGACTGGACTTACGGTTAGGGGCCAAAAGATGATGAAGGTTGCGAGCACGCCGACGATTGCGGGCCAACTCGCCACATAGTAGCCGTATCCCAAGATGGCCGCGATCAGGAAGATGGAGAAGATCAGAAAATTCGTGAAGACGATGGCATCGAAGATCCGTTGGGAATCGTTGGCGCAGACGTTGACGACCTGGTTAGTACCGGTAAGATCCATGATCGAGTTTGAAGTCGGGTGTGTCTATATTCTTTGTATTTGTTACAATCATGGTTGTCATGGCTTCTGGAACTCCACTCGAGCTCCTATAGAGTCTATCAGTCTACCAGAGGGTTGTCATTAGGTTGACACCCCCGAATCTGACACCCCCAGGTCCCCATGTTTACATTCATGGCCAAAATCACGTATAATATATCAACTTTAAACAATCTAAATCACATCTGTGACCTGAATTCATCAATGCAATGGATGCAGTTATTGACTGATCAGTGTAATCATCATTGACAATGCAATGACTGTCATTTGTCACCGTCAACATCTACGACAACACCCTCGGTCGTCGCCACATCATCACCGTCATCATTTAAAGCATCACTGTAATTCTCCCTTCCACTATATCAAAGCCACTGGCAACCATGATCGTCAAGGGATGAGAGAAAGTACCCCTACCCCAAAAAATGCCTACCTCGCCGACACTCTTGTCCTGGAGGGTGCGCAAAGAAGCGACCCGTTTGAAGACCATGGACAGGATGCCGGACCTGGCACGAGTGGCTGTCCTCAAGTTGGTGCTCCAGTGGATGGAGTCGATCACGGTGCGCAGCAAGTTACAGCCCACCAGGATCCCGACCCACATTATCGCTGTCCTCCAGTTTGTACTATCCGTCCTTCCGGCATAGCCCAGAAGCTGCCCGATGACGAAGGACTGGCAAAAAAAACAACCAAGTGTTCAATTTTTCAACCCAGCAGAAGACCAGGTTAAAAAGACGAAAATCAAAACTCATGTCACAAGAAAAAACTGGTGCAGAGACAAGTAAAGCGCCGATGCCCACACTGTCTGTTTATTCCTCTTCCTCACTATCAGACATTGCAAGGTCTGTTTGAGTTTTAGTTTCAACCAAACAAGTTTGTTCATGGAAAATCGGCCGTCCCCCTTCAATAATAGGCAGCAGTAGGTTTCTCTGATTGTAAATATCACAACACCAAGAAACTGGTAAAACTTGGCAGAGGATGGTTTCTAATAAATAAGGGACCAGGACCCAGGATAAAGCTTGTACTTCTATGGACGTGTTCACACAATATATAAGTTTACCCTTTGGTAGAAAAATTGTGCAACACAGCTGGTTCTTTACCAGAAAGTTGATACTTGGGCCTTTCCGAAAAGGGCTTCCAGGGTTACGGCTACGTCTGTCGCCTCCAATTTTGCAATCGAGCGAAGACCTAGACCTAGCTCGAATGGGTGCCTCGATGTAGCGTAGTGCGGGCCTAAACAGATGTTAATTACTGTAGGTTGCTCCTTTCTTTTAATGGATTATCTTGACTAGTTGATGAGTGCATGACGCAAAAAGGTAACAGGATTTTATTTTGGGCAATTTCCAGAATTGGCAACGTCACTTACCCCGGCAAAGAAGCTCAAGCAGATGGCGGTGAAGCCAAACAGGAAACCTACGATGTGACGGGTCAGAATAAACTTAAGCACCACTTTTGCCAGCGAAGCGTCCTTTAGGCCTTTCTCTTTGATTTGTTTGTTCCACAGCTCTTCCACCCTAGCAGCACAAAGAAGTTCAGGTGATTCGGTGACAGAGGTGTAAAGGGTAGTGACTCGAGTCGAGTTATTTTCATGTAAAGTCTCGAGTCGAGTCTTTGCTTGCAGTGATTCGAGTCGAGTCACTTTACCCCGTCGCGACTCGACTCGCGTCGAGTTGCCAGAAATTGTGACTCAGTCTCAAGTCGAGTCACTGACTCGAGTCATTAGCTCTGTGTCTAATGAAGTCTGTCTTCTTGGCATCAGTGAAAATATACCACGTTGAAAACAGAGATAACCCCTTATATATTTTTTCACATTAAGGATGATGTTTATAAGAGACTTTTTTGAAAAAGGTTTTTGGAAACTGCTATTTTCTCCTCGTGTTAAAAACAACACTGAGATATAGTGATTTGGTGCCTGTGTTTGGGTCGGCTATTTGGCCTCATAGTAGCATTGTACGTGATGGTGCTGGGATTGGTGTCAGTGGCTTGACGCGTAATAGGCCTAACTATTAAAATCTTGGTTTTGAGATTTGGTCGTTAGTGCTTCTTGAGTGTCCTGTGGACACTCAAGAAGGGAGAAATAAGTCAGCTGATTGAAACATTTAAAGCAAAACAATCAGGTGACTCATCAATCAGTTGATCATATTGGTCGATTAATCGATCTGACATTTTCCACGTGAATGAGTCGATGTATCTAAACTCACTTAAGACCGGCCATTGTGGCAGTGTCCGTCGGAGAGATGGGAAAGAGATCGTCGGCGACTAGCAAGCGGGTGTAGGCCTTCATGAAAATCTCGCTCATGTAGGAGGCGAAAATAAAGGACAGCAAGCCGTATTTGTCGAAGACGGCATATCTTCCCCTGAAACGGGAAACAAGCAAGGAGAATAGTTGGATGTTTGTTCCCAGTTTGATTTGAGCCGGGCTTAGATAAGTCGGCGAACGGAACGCGATAAAGCAGGGGAAATGCAAAAAAAATGCATTAATTTGCTGAGGGTAACCAAAACTGACATTTTTGTACAAGCCTGATCAGGAAATGTAAAGGACCCAGCCTTCCACAGATTAAGTTGAGGAATCTTTTGCAAAATAATAAACCACAAGTTTCTCAAATCTAACTGTCACAGAATAACAGGTAAACAAATAAATGAAATTATTCAACAAAACGAGGGGAAAATACAGAAAAGTTTTACCAAATATAATCATCAGATATTAAAACAATGATTTATCACTTGCTTATTAATATAGGTCTACCACCGGGCCAACGAATAAACATCGGGTTGAGTAAACCTACTTGGGGGACGGCCGGACGGGTATGATGACCTTGAGCGACTTGGCGTAGCGGAAACCCCGGCGGCGTTTGCGGATGTCATTGTAGGTCAGCGGGTCCAGCGCGACATCTTCGTCCGTCTGGATGTCGCCGTAGCTCCCGATGTCGATGCCGGACCGCATCATCTCCCGAGCTGGGTCGGGCGTCATGGTGTCCTTCTTCCCTTCGTAAACTCCTCGCTAACAAAATCTGGGAAGGGGACAGACAATAATGGATACGGTTCCTGACTGCATTGGTGGCAAACACGTTCAACCTTTTTTCTCATGACCTTTTTCTCGTTTTTCGTACTCGGAATGTTTACTGTGTTAACTTTATAGAACTTTTAGAACGGAGGGAAAATATTTAATGTCACCTTTTGCAAATCTGCCACGAGTTGCGCTGACAAGACGTTGCCCTTGCTATTAAGAATACAATCAAATGGAAACTATCTTAACCTAAATCTAGTTTCTTCTCTTGATAATTAATACCCATTTTGGATGTTCGCTTAGAAAAAAGAGAACTTGAAAGAAATCACCGTCCCTACGAACTTGCTTCTAAAGTTTCATTAGCCCCAGAGTTATCAGGTATGAGTTCTCCTAGGGTGCTGTACGCGCACCTGTGCCCATTTCGAAAATCTGTCTGGGATATTTAATATTTATTTTGTGGAAAAGGCGTTCTAACGATTCTTCTCTTGCTTAACAGCTGATCAGATATTGTCCACTGCACTGTTGAATAAAGCTCACTTGGTGACAGTCTATATTTAGCAGAAACTATCACTGAACTATGAACCTGCCTGTACCATACAAACATAATCGAGGTTTTTCAATTCACAAAAGAAAACAATTAGGCTTGTGCAAATAGAATCGTTACAATATCTCTCCATCACACCCCTGAAATTAATTTTTAACCGGGCTTCGTTTCCTTTGCGTGAGACGTTTCGGGGCAACCTATGAACCCATTAAATGCCGCAGGGTGGACACGCCCGCTTTGAAATTGAGTTTCTCCTTCAGAATAGGCAACAAATAAGCTGAATTGTGAATTGTCGTTCGAATCCTGTAATAACAGAAACTTCTAGTTTGATACGAAGTCGTTTCAAGGGGCGATTGCGTTTACAAAGTAGCAACTAAAGCAAATAGACAGAATACAATTTTCACCTGCTTTTGCTGTATGAAAAATATCATTTACTCGCAATAAACGTTTTACATTTTAAAATCATCGCCAAAGATTTCCTCTATTAGTCTAAAAGTTCAGGCACGGCTACGAACAAAAAATGTCCTCCGTGTGGTGGATTTCATTTTGGCTTCAAATTACCTTCTTCGCGTCTTCAGCTAGAAATGTCGTGTTTGGTATTCCATAGGCGCGCAACCATCAGTCTTCGCTGACTGGGGTCGCGGGATGGCCTCTAGCGCACACCGTAGTAACGTCTAACCCACCAATTCTGCAACTGCACATAAAGATGAATATGCATCACAGTATGTGCCTATTAAATGGCAGAAATGGGCAAGCTTCAGACCTTTCACATTCTTCCTTTATCCTGGTCCCCAATAAATTCTTGTGTTTTTATTAATTAGATTATCGAATGGGAGCTGCAAGTTCCTTCCGAGTGCATGACGTCATTTCTTCAAGCCCTCATTAGATAGAATTTGTGGGCACGATGTCGTGCGCACACTCATCGTTTATCAGCCAGGGTTAACCGCTGACAAGTTTGACTCATTCCAAAGAAGTAGTTACCTAGAGAGGTAAACAGCAACAAAATGTAATCATCTTTGTCATGAGCAACATATGAGGGGGGGGGGTATTCGCGCGTCCTACTTCAAATGGGGCGTTGTCCGTGTCCCACGGGTCATCACACGCTTTAATAAACAAAGGCGTTGTCGGGGATTACAAAACAAGAAGAACGTGTGCCGTGGAAACTATACCTTCAAATTAGATATATAAAAATGTAACTGCGTGGCTATAATCCCGGTTAAAACAGTAAGACATCGATTAGTGCCACGTTTGAGGAATCAAACATATTGTAATACATTAACTCAAACGTGAACATCTTGCTTGTTTATCGTCCATTTTAAGACAAAGTTTAATGGATAGAAATGCAACAGACGACAGGGAGAATAACGAACGTCCTTAATTATAAATCCAGAGAATGTTTGCATTAAAACAACCTTTGCAGGGGATTGCTTCGCTTAAGACGAGAAGTTGGGAACAGGCTAGTAAATATGCTCCAAACGGGGCTATGTTACCAACAGAAAAATAATCCAGAGTTGATCCACGAAAGTATATTTAGTCCAACGCTGTTTGTGGGAGTGGTCATTTTCCCAACTTTGTTATGCCGATAGAGATTGGAGGGTTCGCCTGTAAAGGAGGCTAACGGGTGAAGTGGTTGATATGGCGACGGTTGCGAATCACTCTGCTGTTGCAGTTGCCCGTTCAAGGGTGAAATTAAAGCCTCACTTTGGCGCAGCCGTAGGAAATGGATTTGCCACAGTGGGATATCGCAATTGCCACTGGAAATGGCGCTTGGTTTACAGTACACGTATAAACCAACATTGGCATCACATACTAAGCACATTCACAAAGTGAACTGGACCTCGTACGTGAAGTGGATGGAAAGATCCCAAGGGGTCATTCTAAAACAAAAGGCCTTTTTTATTCAGATAACAAAATATGAAACACTGATTTTCTGTTTCCAGTTGTTACAGACTACTGTTTGGGAACATTACGTTCACCCTCCAAACGCTTCTTAATTCTGTCTTCGTATGAATGTATATACCTGAACTATATAAGTGCTGAAAATGCCTACAAAACACCGTGCATAACTTTGATTTGATTTTATCCAAAACGTGTAGACGTCTTATGAAATTATTGACACTTAATACGAAGCCGCCCGTAGAGAGAACCTACAAATATCCACACAAGGTCTTTGACTTCCAATTCGCAAAATGGGTTATATTTTGGTGATCGCTCTTCAAAATAGTAACTCTCCGTATACGCGGATACTTCTGCGTAAAAGCTGATTCAAATTTACCAGAACTGACCATCAAAATGAGTTAAATTTGTCACAAAACATCGACCAACGATTTGACCGGGTTTTTACATACAGTATGAAAAGTGACTTACCGAATTGATACTCTTCGAACACAAACACCCAAATCGGTTCTTGTTCACCGAGTAACTTGGTACTGAATTAGCAGCCGTGGAACTATATAGGGTAGATCTCTGCACGCTCACCTATTGCACTGTGAACCAATCGGTCCGGCCGACGGGTAAATTGTTAACCAAACTCAGCCAAAGTTCGGGTCCATGCCCCCTTAAGGTAGTTGTTTCCAGTATCTAAATCCAACACGCCCATTCAATGTATCGGTATTGAGCAAACATTCCAAAATATGTCTGTTATTCATCCCGGGCGCCTTCTCCCACAACCATAGTCAATCTTGGTAAACAGCACACAGAAAGCCGACCTCAGTGAGCCGAGCTGGCGTGGATTCCCTCGGTGAAAAGAAGGAAACCAACTACGCCAACCTATATAAATGAGTAACAAGTTGCCCAGCACTGCGAGTTTACTTTGAGTCGTGTAAGACAAATCAGTAGGTTCGCCAGCTCAAGTCCTGTTGCATGATCGGGTGCCTACTGGGTAACAGAACAGACCGGAGAGCCGGGCATGCTCTCTGTGTAATTATCGAATACACCAAAACATGGCACCCAGAAACACGCCTCGGTTATGGGATCCAGTCAATTAAGCATCGGTGACAATTCTTGCCTAGATACCCGTAAATTACACCGGACCGAAACTATCTCTCGAAGAAGCCCAAATTTCTTTCAGTACACGTGTGGCCAGTCTCGTTTCATCTCATTAACACAGTTTTCTTCAATTTTCTTGAAAACCTGCAGAATGCGTCCGAAAAAATGAATAAATAACATCTTTGACGCTGCAAATTTGGCCGTCCTTGTGTAAGCACACGTCGTATTCAGTAACGTGTAATTTAGAGTTCATATGACATTTGTTATTTTTATTTCAACGAACGGAAACCCGTCTTGATTTGTAATTTAATGTTAAAAGATAACCAAGTGACGCGAACCGAGCTCACTTTAGTGTCATTTCCCATAAAGTTTTTTTTTTCACGTTTATGCACGAATTGTGCACACTCAGGTCTTGCGTGTTGGTAATTAAAATGATTGTAGTGAAATTTTGAAAAGCATTTGTTTACAATCTCTGCATAAAAATAGTTTCCCCATATTACGAATATCCTATCATTCTTATTTTAAAGCCAGTAACAAGATGAAACAATAAGATTTGAATAGTGGTGAAGACCACAGCTTTGTCTTATTGGGGGCTTGGGGATAGGAAAATGAAAGTTCAGATGTAAAAAAAGATTTCTTCACATTAGATATATTAGATTTAGAATATTATATCTAACTACAACCTATGTTAGATATTTCAGGAAACATGCAAGTCGTACGTTTGCACTATTTTGGTGCCTTGTTACAATGAAGTGCGCTCTGCCTTTTTTAACTGTCAGTATTTTTAAGGAAAACGACAACATGTTCTATCCAGTAACGTTAGCTTAGCTTGAGACTATTAATTTTATGAACATAAAGTCCAGTTTCTGAACACTTCTGAATTGTTCGACTGTACCACAATTATGTATTAAATAGGCAGCGAACTTATGCAAATGAATTATTGGACTTTGATAGCGTAAGGTCATACAGATAGAGCAAAAAGCCGCCAATACACCCAGGTTAATTGTTGACAGGGAAAAATGAAATAAAGTTCGCTGCAACCATGGCAACAGATGGGCAGTTTCAGATACAAAATATACGCAATTATCTTGACGATCCACAGTGAGATTTCCTTAGAAAAAAAACTTCTGCAAAGTGGACTTTAATCGGGCAAGGCCCCGAATAAAGGAACTGAACTTCGCCCGCCCATGTTACAGTATGAATGCTGCGATTTCATTTAGAGAGGTTAACTTGGCGACTGGGAATTCGCAGAGTGGCAGGAATTCGTGATTGGGCCTAGCATGTGATTGGGGCTGACACGGTTCCATCCGTGTATCTATAGTGACCAGATATATACGATGTAACAAAAAGCTCTCGGAGAAAATCGGGGTTCGCATTTTTCAGTCCAACAGATCCAGCAGTTTTAGAGTGTGTTTATGGCCCCTGTGCGTGGTAAGGTTGAAAGAGAGGCTCAACTTGCAATCTCTGAGTTCGTATTACGTAATGGCTTATTGCGTAACGGCTTAACCACCCTCCTTAGTAAGGGCATGGAGGAATAGAAAAATAGAGAAATAGAGGGTCTCTTCTGTTTTGCAAACTCAGCCTCGCTCTCTTTCTGCTCCGGCAATTTTGCGCAAGGGGCGAATTATTAGGCTCTATGCGCAGGCAAGCCCAAGTATAAATTGGTACCACCCCTCTTCGATTCATCAGCCGTTGACCCGCCGGCTGACCTCCGCCATAAATCATGCTTAATCGCCTTCCAGATCACTCTTAATCACCCTCAAAATGATCGGCAAAGATTGCATAAACCGACATCAAGTCCTCGACCCACTTAAAGCGACCACGGCCGCTTGCGTGCTGTATGCGCATTCCCAACCTGTGTATGCCCTTCAATTGTAAAGCAACTCAGGCACTGAGTAATCATGTGGAACCTCTCAGGCGTGGTCGTTTTGGAGCATGTTCTTTGGAACCGAAGCGAAGGTGGTGATACAAGTCAACAGTTTTTGCAGGTTTTTAGGAGGTGGTGAGCAACACGACTTGTTATTTGCTCCCATCATTTATCAAAACTCCTTTTGGTTCCCTAGTTTTAGGCCTATACTCTTTATTAATAACAAAAGAAACATGAAAGCACTGCATATGGTCGCATGTCCGCGCTTCAAATCTCAATAGTGAGGCGTTGTACAGCGGTAACATAAAATATTAGACGTTATTCGTCATCTCACGTGAAATACAAGAGGCACACATTTTTGAGGCTGAATCCCGCGAAATATGAGTCTTAATTAAAGACATTAACTGTCTCCTTTCCTTATATATTACAATACTAAGATCTTAAAAGATTACCACGGAATAAAAATAAACAGTAAACGGGAAAGTAAAATTAGTAAAAACAAAAAAACAAAAACAAGCAAACATAAAAAGCATAAACAACGCACACATTTAAACCAAAACACAGTAACAAACAGTAATAAAGTTTGCTATCTTTCGATTTCCAGAATGAAACTTGACACGATGGGGACCAGTCACTGATATCCACTGTGATAAGCTGGTTAAGTTTAAAAAAATAAAAGTTCTTGCGACCTGTAACATGCAACTCATTCTGTGTGGTATAACACCCTTTGAGAAACTTCCACGACTTTAGTCGCAGTTTCAGGGCCAACAGCCAGTATCATACCCCTCACTCTCGCGGTTTCCCAGTTCTGACGTCGAACTGCACCCCCCCCCTCCCCAAGGCTTGGCCAAGACAGCGGAAAGCCAGATTCCGTATGGGTACTTTTAATGCTCCTACAACAGTGAAGGTTCCCCTTATTTTTACGATACGTGAAGCCAAATACATTCATTCCAGTAACACTGCATTATTTCGGCATCTGAGGAGTGAGCTGATGCAAAGGCGATTGTTTCCGTGTAACACGGGAGCACTGCTACTGCGCAGTGTTATTCGAAAAGCTAACCTTGAATATTTTGCCCCGCCCACAACAAGTAAGTGTGATCAGGCGTGGGCTGCCTGATCTGAATCAGCGGTTGAGACCCCCTCTTTACTGTTTTTTACAAAACTACATTATGACCTTTCCGAGCATTTTCAAGCAAGATTCTCAGGGTTTCATCCGCATGCACTGACCTCGCCCAGCTACTGCTGTTTTTATAATGTACGGTCAAGGGGCCTGCTGTGCCACGCTGCTGACGGACTCACACCCAGAGCGGGGAGTCGCCCGCTTACCACGAGCTCCATACACGTTGGGTTTCCTGACAGTACATGTACATGTAGAAGGGTAAAGATCACGCACGTCCACCTTTCACCGACATCACACATACACGGTGAGTATACGGTGTACCGATATAAACATTGATACGTACGGCAGTTCATTTACATATGACCCCGCTAAAAACACCAGCACGGGCGTTTTTAGATCTACCTTTCTTAAATCAAAAGTGATACACTTGAAACCTCGCGTATAGATAGTTCTCCTACTTCGTTGACATTCAAACAGTAAGACCTAATATCCCAATGTCCTTTGAGGATTTAAGCCGAATTGTGGCATTCAATTAAGTGGAACCAACATTCGGGTTTTGAAAACACGACTACTTTCGACAAATGACAAAAACTTCATTGTTGCCGTTTTTAATACTTCTACTGTATACATAAACAGCCTTACTCTAGTCTCTGAACAGACATGAAATTTTCTTGAGATGTAAATCCTGGCATTCAGACGTCGGCGAGCTTATTTTGATAAGGACTGCGTTGTAAACAGAAATCGGTTCGTTATCGGTCCGGCGGGGTATGGTTCTTTTATCTTCTTTTTTTCTGTCTGCGTTTCCCATTTCTACTTCTGCTCTCACATTGCCTATATCATTTGTATGGGGCGGCCAGCGTCTGACTGTTCAACACTCTTGCAGCATTTCACCTGAAAACGTACTTCGGGGGCCTACATCTATCCATACACTTCAGAGGGTCCTACTTTTACTTAGCATTTAGATTTGACTAATTGATGTTTGATTACAAGCAAGAATTTTTAACAATTCCAGAGATAGTTTCAGTACTCTACTGGTACTGAAGCAGAAACTTGAATACGAAAGATCAGACTGTGCTAGTTGGGGTGAAAAACTCAGTCCGCCGGATTACACAATGCCCCATTGTCGAGTAAACGGATGGACTACTTGTCAAGCCTAAAACCTTTTACACTTCTAGAAAAAAAGGCAATTTGGAAGTTTTAAATCTGATCGTACAACTTGCGATAATTCAATGCATGGACAGGGAAACGAACTCAGAGAGATCTGTGACAGTGAACGTGCCACCGTGGACTGTACCCGTACCGTGACCGCGTAGTACATTGTACACAGCCCCTATAAGCTGCTGAGACTTTATCGGTGTCATGAACGTCAGCCTGAGCTCAGGTTAGTGCAAGTCCCATCTGTGGGGAGTCATAAAAACTACCGAGGTCTTTTGAGTATTTAAAGGCTTCGGTTTCATATCAGGTCAGACGCTGCGTGACTCCAGTATTTTCAGTGGTCGCGGCTCAGTGTGGAAAGTCGTGTGCTGGGTCCATTCGGCTCTCCGGTACTGTGAAATCGAGATCCGACCTGAAAGGGTAATATATTTGGCTCGAAATTTCAAGTTTTGGTGCTTCGAGCCAAAGACAAAGCCAACGTCGAGATCTACAGTCTAATAGTAACTCTAAAATCAATCGTGATGAAAAGGAATGTACCAATGCATACACGTAATGCCTGTCTACCGACATAATTGCAAAAACACCTGTCTGGCAACAGGTGTAAACAAGCCACACTGCCGTAACTTTTACTTGCCACCCGTACAGTTCTACTAGCTAACGAATGCACTCCGTCAACGTAGCCCTTCAAAACCATTATGCACCCATACAATAGTGTCATCAACACATCTCCATTAAGCCATGTGCAAGGTACAGAATTGAGAAAGATTCACCATCCCGAAATACTATTAAAAACTTCCCAAGAATGGACATTTATTTTAATTGGTCATAGGCCTAAAGATCAGTGTAACCGTAGTAATGCGCCTGAAAAGTAAAGTGGGCAGGACCAGGGGAGGTCCGCCAGAACACTGCACCGCGTGATTATATGAGGTGTGCGGGAAAGTTTTCAATTTATCATGCGATGATCAAAACAAGCATATGGGCCTCAAACCCGGAAGAAAAAGTAAGAGCACTTACCGCCGTCTTGAAGTTGTGCAAGCGAGCGGGTTCTACGGATGAATGAGATGGGAGCCCCAAGGTTCAAAAGGAGCAGGTTTCACCTCGTAACTTTTGTACAGCCCAGACCCCCCTCATGTGACGCATATTCAGAGTCACTGTTAATGCGCATGCACGCTCTGCCGAGCAGTTAGCCAATGAGAGCGAGGGGTCGGCAGCCTTACGCCATCCTGGGAGCTTCGCACACCGTGAACTTTGACTCCGTCGGTAATTTTTGGAGGGCAGTGTGTGAAAAGTCAAGTTCACCTCCTTGCACTGATTGTTACTTGAGACGATAGAAAATAAACCTATCGCTCGAAACGCCGATGACAGATGATTTGGGCTGATAGTGTGCTGAGATACAGAAGATTTTCTGGAGCTTTTTTTTCAAAACAAGTTGAAATTTGCCTTTCCTCGTCTGTTGTTTGAAGTATTAACATTTGCTGTGACTCTTGATGGCACCCAATCATTACTGGCGGATTGATCAGGAGACTATCTGCAACTAAATTTTGACGCAAGCGCTACATTCTTAGTAAATAAGATTTCAAGTTCATACTCAGATGTTTTCAAATACTTTGACACAAAATGTTGACGTACTAGGACCAGTATTATCATCTATCGAAATCCTTGTACATGCACTTCGTTAAGCATTTCATCAACAGACGTGCATAAAGTTAATTCATGTATTCCCGCTAAGCAACTGCATGGGACAATGGTGGTATTAAAGTAATGCTGAGAGTAGGACCTCAATAATAAAATACTTCCTGTATAAGTCGTCAGAGGGGTGTATTTTATAGCAACAGTCTTCAGCTGAGCATCGACCTATGTAGGACTCCAGAAATACTCCAATGTAATTCCTGCAGCGAGCACTGCCCCATTCCGACGACTGACATGTCACGTGACCAGTGGCGTATCCAGCGGGAGTCCCCACAGGAGGAAACCCCCCCCCGACAGATTTTGTTTTTCACTTTTATTTTCATTTAATATTTGATTATCAAATTTGTATTTTAATATTTATGTACTGAATACTGTCACCAAAGCCCAAAGAAAATAACATCAGGAAATGAAAGCCAGGATGTCGAGGCCGTAAGGCTCTTGATCTTTTTCGTTTTTGTTTTTGTTTTTTTTCCCCAAAGCCCAAAGCTGCATTGGCTTTTGAAGCTTTTGAATTTGCCCCTCCCCTCCCCCCCCCTGACACCAAAAGCTGGATACGGCGCTGCCGGCATGCGACTCTGGAAATTAGCTTTGCGCCAAAATCAAAGTGTCTTTCAATCGCTTTTATTTGTGCTCTACTATTTAGGCTTTCACCCCAAAAAAATCCTCCGCCCGGCTAAAGCAGCGCCCTCTATAGGCAATTGGAACCCATCTTTGAAGGACATTAAACGGGCCTAGTATCCTGGACGTGTCCCTCTGCGGTCTTGTGTTGCTTCACTGCACGGGCATTGCAAAGTTAAGAGAAGGGGGCAGTTCAACCTCCCTAAGAAAAAAATCTAAGGAACAAAAGTCCAAGAAAGAAAGATGAAAATCACCAATTTTGTTTGGGAAGAAAGCATCTCAAAATCGACACTCAGTCCACTCCCAGTGGTTTTTCAGTTCGTTGCCAAGTACTTACCTCCCCTGGAAAAAAATCTTGGACATGCCAAGGCCAATAATCCACTTTCCTTTCTAAGGTTCTCAGAGATTATTCTTTCAAAAACAACAAATACACGAGTGAAATAATTATACAACAGTTCAACTAGAGTTCCATAAACATGGTCTTATTCACATTTGCACATTTTCAGTTAACAGTGAAATAAAACTAAATGTAAACGAAAGGCCCTCTAAGATAATGTTCTTATCCTAGGCTTCCAAAAGTCTACCAACTAACCAAACATGACAACAAGCAAGTCATCATTAATCCGCCCAAATCAAATATTTTTGAAAAAGCTTGACGAAGTGCGCGGCGATTTCTGTTCGTTCAGTGTTTTTAAATTTATAAAGAAAATAAAACCAGTTCAAACACGGCATAACCGCCTACTTAGTGGTGCCACATTGTACCATCGACCCAACTTCACCGAGGTAAAAGTATTCCTGTTAAAGCGTCAGCGGAACATTTAATACCACTACTGACATGACGCTGTTTCTGATGATCATGCTCCTTACGACAGATTCCGCACTTTGGTTTGGTCAACAGAGTAAAGTATTTGGAAACATGCCACAAAACAGACCCTAGTTCTTTGGAAATTTGTTATTTGGGCAACCACTGTTCATAATCTGTAAAGATTTGTACTGAAAAAAGATGGATAAACAAAACTAAACCCAGAGCTAAATACAGATCTTCTAATTCTTCACAATAAGTGAAAGTTGTTATGAACTGTAAGCACTGTTGATATACCAGAAACCCATTCTGGAAAACAACAATGATTCTCGCCAGTTCTTATACTTGTGTATATATAGCTAATATCTCCTCCCTTCTACTTGTCTGGCTGTTTCTCATTCCCCTTTTCTGCAGGCTTCTGTCCCTCTTTTTCTCTGGGTTTGTCAACCCTTTTGTCTTTGGGTTTGTCACTGCCTCTATCGCGGGGTCTGTCACCCTTTCTATCCTTAGTGGCATCACTACCCCTGTCTCTACCTCGGTCCCCACCTCGGTCTCTATGTCTGTCACCATCTCGGGGTGTGCCACCCCTTTTGTCACCCCCTCTGTCCCGTGGTTTGTCCTGGGATTTATCACCCTCTCTGTGTGTGGCACTCCCTTTGTCCCGTAGCTTGTCGCTGCTATCACTCTTGGATGATTCACTGCTCTGCACTTTATCCCCATCTCTGGTCTGACCAGTGCCTCTGTCTCTTTCCCTGGGTCTGTCATCCCGTTTGGGTCGGTCTTCCTTGCCTCCTTCTCGTCTTGGTGGTCTCTGCTCTCCGCCCCGTGAGCCATGCCCATCTCTCCTGTTCCTGTCCTCCCTCCGATGGTCATGCCGTCCCTGGCCTTTGCCTCCCCCTTTGCCTGGGAAGGCGCCTTCGTCTTGCCCCCCGCCCGAATCTTTGCTCTCCCTCCGTCCGTCTCTTCGCTCGCTGCCAGTTTTCACCTGATCTGGTTGGGACACCGGTTTGGCATCACCATCCCGGGGGCTCGACCTCTGACCTTTGGCCTTGTCCCCCAGCTCCTTATCCTCATGGCTTTTGGAAGATGATAACCTCTGACCTGGCTTATAAAGGGCCATGGCAGGCCGGTCCTGCAATGATGTCAAAACAGCTACAAATTTATAAAGAGGAAAAAAATACAAAAGAGCGCTCAACACAATGCAACAGAAAAGCATGACCCAGGGAACCATCCAAAATTCTTTACCATTACCTTATTCCGAAGGCGATCGGTCCCCTCCTTCCCTCTTGTTGACTTTCCGGATTTCTCTGACGACCCCTCGCTTGAGTCTGTTCCAAGGTCCGAGCTCCTCCTCCCGCATGCCGGTCTCTTGTCAGCCGAGGCAATTTCCTTCTCATCCTTCCTGCCAGACGAGCCCTCCCCGTTCAGGGCAGCCGATTTGGACTGGCGGGCCACATCACTCTTCTCAGATCGCCTCTGGTCAGAGCCCCTGCTGGGCGGCTCATTCCTCTTGGCCCTCTCACTGTCCCGCCCGCCTCCTCTTACCTGCCGGTCTGAGTGGGAATCCCTTCGCTTGTCGTCCCTTGGGGCCTGTCCCTTGGATGACGAGTCTGAATCTTCAAAATTATGAAAGCTCGCATATCAGGAGAAAATTCGGACAAGTGTGCATGAAAAGACCTTTGAAAGTCAAATTAACCAACTTACAACATTACAGACAAGAATCTTCTTTGGATAACGACAGTGTGAAAACCTCAAAGAGGGCTAATTTAAAAGAAGTGAGATGTGTTATATCTCAAAGTGGGATTCTAACTGTGGTCCTTGGGAGTGAAGGCCATAAAGGAACTGCCCAACCAGACAACCTGCTGTCTGCATCGGGGCTTTCACTATTTGGGTGAACATAAATGTTAACGTGTAGATAGACCCTACCTTTAGGCGAGCGTTTCTCTGGTGCAGCTCCCACATCCTTGTCTCGTCCCCTGTCCCTCTCTCCTCCCCCACGGTCTCCCCCATGGTGTCTGTCACGGTCTCTGTCGGGCTGTCTCTCCCCACCCCTGTCCTTGTTCCGCTCCTTCTCCCTCGTCCGCTGATGTTCCCTCTCCCTGTCCCTCCGTTCCCGCTCAGGGTCTCGGTCCTTGTGTCGGGGGGGTCTTTCCCTGTCCTCTCTGTCCGGTTTCGCTTGGGGCTTTGTGTCTCTCTCCTTCCTACTGCAAAGGCACATCAACATTACAGCTATTTCAGCCCAAACAAATTGCTAGAAATTTCAAAATAAGACCAGGCACTCAATCTTAGCAACTTAAACATGGTCAGTTGTCTTGGAACTAAGCTGGCCAGAAATTTTCTCGCCAAAAGGATTCACTGCAGGTCTGCTTTATCGGAAACGGACGCCTTCTGGAAAATGCAAAACAGCTCAAGAATAATAACGAAAGGTGCGTGGCCAATCACCTGTCATCTCGTCTGGCCTGGTCTCGTCTGCCCATCTTCTCCTTGCCCTTCGCATCCATGGCTGCCGCATCCTCTTTCCGGTCCTTCTTCTCTTCTTCAGGTTTCTTGAGTAACTACGGCAACCAATTTGTTTTTTTAATTAAAATAAGTAGAGTAAACTCCAACTAAGTCGACATCCCGTAACCCGTCACATCACCCAAGTCGGCCGTTTCACAAAAGTCCCGATCGTCTGTAATGCATTTCCATTCAAAATTTCATTTCTAAGTCGGCATTTATACATCGTCATTTCGTATATGTCGGCATGTTTTTCTCGGTCCCTTTTCCACAAAACCACACAAGTTCCATTTGTGTAAGTTGGCATTAAAAAAAAATCGTGCTTCGGTATTGGTTTCCTTTGCCGAGGTTGCCAAGAAGTGTCAAGTGACAAGTTCCATGCGCGCGCAGCCAGCCTGCGTACATCAATACCAGTAACCTCTCTAGTGCTACACGCATGCACTCTGTCCATTTTGGGGGTTGCCCTATTGATCTGGTTCCCTGCCCAAAGATTCCCGGACGACCTTTGATGATTCATAGGGTAGTCAAAAACATCGGGTCTGGTATCCAGACTACATTGAACGAACTTAACCAATGCACATGTGTGTGGATGAGTGTATGTTTTCTATGCCGTAACTGTATCATGTACATGTACTATGTATGTACTGCACTATCAAGTCGCAATGTGATACGCAACTTTGCAAGTGGCTTGCCGTCCTTGCTTCGTCCTTAGGGGCACATGATCAATTATTGAATCTGCAGGATTTTAATCAAGAACGAATTTGCTGGGATCGACCATGGGGGTAGAAATAAACCAGGGTAAATCAAAGCCATTGAATTAGTGCAAGGAATCATAATGTACAGAGGCAATACATGTGTATGTGTAAGTCGGCAAAATGACGACTTACAACACAAATCGGCTTACGCATAAGTCGTCATAATTTCTTGAGTCCCGAGAGTGACGACTTAGCCGGAGTTTGCTGTGCCACGAACCTGCACCAATAACGAAGGACACTTTGAGAGGATTCCGTAAATGCAAAACAGAAACCATTATTCTTTGGGACGTATGTTTGCAGTACTAGGGCTGTGAAAGAGGGAACATTAAGCCTCCCCCCAAAAAACAAAAATAAACGAGCAAGAGGAGTTTTGGTATTAGCATATATCACGGAAGGTTAGCTCCAACGGCCATGAGTCCAAGCGATGTCTCGCCTGCCATTTTCAACGTTTGATATGAGCGAGCAGTCCAACTGACCATCTTCTACTTGAAATTTCTCAGACAAGCACGCACATAAAACAGGACAGTGCCCTGTAAGTGACTGCAGATGTCAGTCAGGATGTGAAGGGTCAAGCTCAGGTGACAACCGTTTGTCAACCGCCGGTCGACCTTGCTTGGTAACCAGGATATATTTGTGCGCACAGGATACCAGCGGGGGGAACTGAAAAATGGACGTCGCTCGAAATGGATGGCACGATTTTCCTTTTCCAGTGAATGAAAAGCAAATGAAATGGAGGCCACAAGTGCCGCGAGTCATTTGCCGGGATGCCCCGGCGGCACATGGTGCTAACCACTTCACCACTTCCGTCACCTTGATCTTTTGGGGTTCCTCTTTCTCCCCTTCCTTCTTGTCTCTCGCCTTCTCCTTGGCCTCCCGTTCCCGCTGTCGCTGCTGTTTCTCCCGCTGCCGCCTCCGCTCCTCCTCCCGCTTCTTCTGCTCGCGCTCTTTCCGCCGTCGCTCGTCCCGGGCCTCCTGACGGATTTTCTACAAGTGGGCGAGGCAGAACGGGGGAGCTAATAGGGAATGGGCAAATGTCAATTGCCCGCTTTGGCTAGGTTTGTTGAATGCTCCCCTGACCAATACAGTGTTGTAACGAGCCAAAATAAATGTGGGGGGAGGTTGTTTCTTTTGTTTGGTTGGGAGATGGCAAAAATGGAGTGACTTCATTACGGCCTTTCTCAGACACGAGGCTAATCTGAAGGGCCTTTTTATATGCTTCGGGGAGGACGGGAAAGAAAAAAGGACCATAAAGTTTGTCCTTTTCGTTAAAATTCAACCAAGTTAAAAAAACCTCACCTCACCTCAACCTCAACCTCAACCTCAACCTCACTGTGGCCCTCCCCTAATCTACCACTTGTAAAACACAACATGCGTATGTGTGTAGGATTCTCTATACTCACGACCCTCTCCAGTTTCTTGTTCTTGAGGAAGGCCAGAAGAGGCGTCAACTCTTTAGCTGAAGAAAAAAGCAAGTGACAAGTGTTTGCCAGGAAAATTACTGTAAATTGAGGTGGTGACGTCAGAAGCCATCCCACCGTGCTAATATTTAAGCAGACTTCTTCACTTTGTATTCCGGTTTGAGGAAACGTAAATCAGACAATTTGACCAATGGCGCTAGTCATCATAGACAAATAGGAATGACAAGTGTTATAATCCTCTTGTCCTTTGGTCTTGACCCACAGGTTCATACAAAAAAAGTGCTGCTATTATGCATGCCCTGTTTAATTAAACACCGAGGCCAAATTTCAGCCAAATATTGCTGAGCACTTTACAATCAAGTCTGACAAACGAAGCACCAGTTTCCAGTTATTTGCAGAGCGAAAATTCAGCAGCTGTCCAGTCCGGCCCCCTACCTTCCTTCTCGCTGAGTTTGGCCTCCAGCTCTTCTAGGTACGTCTCCGCGCTGGGCAAACGCTCCACCTCCGCCTGCAACGACTCTGCAAACACCTTGAAATCATCGTCTGAAACGGACAACAGCAACACCAAAAGAGCAACAGTCATTAACAGAACTTGTGTCTTCCCAGGCAAACATTTAGCCGGAATCCAGATGACAAGCAACACACGTGCATCCTACATTTGCAGCTGAGACAGACTTTTGGTCTGAACAGGACAGAGCTCTCTTTCCAGCTCCATGGCTGGACCTAGCCAAAGAATAACGAATGCTTAGGGCCCACGTCCTGAGCAGAACATAGCCGGATGCCAGTGATGCATATCACATCAAGTTTGGGCCGGCGACCTGTTTTTTACATCTTTTCTCCTATTAGCAGAGGAGTCTGCGTGTTCCCTTTACCGTTTTCTATGGTGCCGCAGCGAGGGTCCACCTTCCGACCTTGTTTCTTGGGGATTTTCTGGTAGGGAGCAAACTCAACCACCGCTGGATATTCAGTCCCTTCAGGGGGGAAAAATCAAGCATGAGACTGAGTCAGTTCAGCCTTTTAGGCTGCATTCGATGAAACCACGTATAAATAAATGGGAAAGTAGGAAACATCGTGCCCGTATTTGTTTATCTGCAAATGAAGCTCCCCAACATTCTATTTTTAGCGCTTGCTAAGACTTTTGGCAGTTTCGACACAGGAATCTAAACATTTGTACAAGTTTGGAGGATGAAAGGTCTTACCGGGAACTTACAATATCCCCACTCCCCCCTCCCCTGAGCATAACAGCCATCAAATGCAAAACAGTGATTTCTTCATGGAACTCGCACTAGGCTAAATTCAAACCCTGGCTCTGCTCTGACAATCTTTGCAATACTGGCCAGACCAACTACTGATTGGGACTATTCTGCAATGTTATTCCTTCCTACCTTTGGCGTCGGTGAATGAATACCCATCCCACTGGTCTCGGAAGGGTACTATGTCCTCTGGGTTGATGAAGTTGATGTAGGCTCGGCAGAAGGCATTGACTTCAAGACTACATGCACAAGAATATATCCAAACAAACTTATAATTGCTGTTACCTTCCTTCCTTCCTTGACAGTGCAGCCTCGTGTGTGTTAAGGATACACATACATGGCCAAAGCCAGCAAAAAAGTCACCTGTAAATCGCCCTCTCTGGGCACTTTGTGGTTCTGCGCAATGGAAATTGATAGGAACTTTCAAGGTTTTCTCAAACGTAATGTTTACATTTACCAGGCTTTCAATCAGGTGATACACCCAAACAAAGTGAGTGGAAACTTGAATGGGTGGGAACAGTGAAGGAAAAAAAAAAGCCTTCTTCATTTTACGAGATTCAATCAAATCACAGAGAACATCAAAGCAAAGCCCTCAGAGCAAAGCCCTTTGTGGCTTTCTTTACCAGCCTGAATCCCAGAAGACCCAATATCAAGATAATTTTGTTCATTCTGTAGGATTTTGTTAGATTTCGTTGATTTACTGGATTTAGTAGGCTTCAGAATTCAACTGGCAATAACTGGAGTCCTTCAGAAAAAAAAACCTGAAGCAGGGTTCGAGATAAGGGCCATCCTTGTACCTTCGGTCCGCTTTTACATAGTATAGGTAATTGTTGTTCGGAAGCGGGGAAATCTGCTCCAGAAAGTCGGCTTCAGTTAGAGTCGGAGGAAGACACCGGATCACAACCTATCAGAAGAAACCGAAACACAAAGAATTCTTTTTTCTTTGCAAAAGCATTGGGCACACTTCGATAAAGTTAGGGCTATATTTGAAACCACATATATGCCCGAGGCATTATAATACAGTGGTGGAGTGAATATGGCATGAGTACAATTTTATGTGTTGAATTGAAGGCATTGGCGTGAGAACCAGCATATGAACCATGGCATCACACGTACACACTCAATTCATTTGCCATGTTTGCACATCAATTTCGGTCCAAAAATTATTTATAATGGTATCATGCCTCAGTAGGCCTACTCTGTAGGCCGTAGGCTGAGATGCTTTGAAACAGAGCTGTAGCTTCATTCCTAAAAATAAGCCTTGGCGCTAGGTGTAATTCCATGACCCCGGTTCACAAAATTCACGGCCCCACCCCACACCAGCACACGCCCACCGGCTACCCCAGAATGGATTGTCCGGAAACTAGGCACTTAAGCGATAATTCACCTTCGTACTCGGTGCCTCCTTCACTTTCCTCTTCTCACTTGCATCTTCCTTGCCGCTGGACTTTTCGTTCTTCACCTCTTTGGTCATTATTTATAGAAACGAGGGCCAATGTGGTGCTAGGCCTGCTGAAAAGACACAAAACGGCACATCATCCATGAATCAAACCTGCTCGCACATCACACAGCGAACATCAGCGTCTTACAGGGCGCCCTCTTCCTGAAATTATTTACAAAGTGCCGTAATTGATGTGTTCCTTTGGGGTCATGCTGCTGCTGAGTTCAGTTTTCCCGGGTTTCTAACCAAGTTTGAAGATAATGTTCGGTAGGTATTTCTTCAGTTCGACGGCGAATTGTCTGGAAGTTCTCTAAATGCCTTTCCAAGGTTCTTTTTGACGTAACTGCATGGAGGAAACAACTTCCATGCATGAACGTCTTCCTTAGCTAGGCTTTCGAGCTTTCCGGTCAATCATGGTCATCATGCACACGGAGGAAGGACCATGTTCATCATGTCATCAGGGTTTTGGCGGTCAAAACTTACCCATGTAAACCGTGGGGTCCGACATGCAGATGGAAGGAGTTCCATATATCGATACGCCTATACGGACGCCACTTGACACCCCGTGCACAGACCCTATGAGACTGGTCTGAAAAATTCTAAGTGACTTGGGTACTTTCATGACTTTCCCTCCAAAGTGCTCCAAAAATTTATGGACATTTGTTTTTGCTTTCTGATGGTTAAGTAGGGGGCCTAATCATGGTAGGCCTATAATTCGGGCACACGAACATCCGGGAGTCTTGCAAAATGGTAGTAGCCTATGCAAACAACTAGGCCTACAATAAACATGCACGTACATGTATGTATTGATCAAAGAAACGTGGTGCACGCATATATGTACGTGGCCATGGTTGCTGCTTTTAACAATTACTAGGGCCTACCCAACATTTTGCGAGAGTCCCGGATGTTCATGCCTCCCCATAGGTCACTGTCGGGAATAATTACTGGCGTCCGTATATGGGACTCTTCCTTCAAAGAAAAACAGCTGAACCAGTTATTGGCAATGACCACCAAAATGGTTATTCTAGTCACTTCGCCTGAATTCGCCCACAACCATGACTGACAACCACTTTGCCCACAACCACTTCAGTCTTGACCCATTTGCCTCTTCACCCGTCTGCCTCTTTGCCCATACAATGTATCACGTTGCCAATCTGTCACTTCGCCCACATGCTCTTCCTTTAACTTAAGACTAAACAAAAAAGACCTAATTTAAAATGTGAAATAACCACCACTCTGCCACCTCGGATGCCAATATCATTGCATGCTTTACGAGACAATGACTTATTCCTAGTGTCAGCTGGTGCTCTACCTGGACATGAAGTGACGTGGGGGCGAAGTGGCAGATGGGCGAAGTGGCAGTTGGGTGAAGTGGCAGTTGGGCAAAGTGGCAGTTGGGTGAAGTGGCAGTTGGGTAAAGTGGCAGATGGGCGAAGTGGCAGTTGGGTAAAGTGGTTGTATTTGAGGTACATGGGCAAAGTGACTCTCATCAGCAGAGCGTTACTGTTACGCCTTAGCAGAGCCAGGAAGCATGACCTGGTCTAGGCTGTCATAAGCTGATACAGTCATCATGACGCATGCTATTCCTACATCATCTGACTGAGGCCATGGTGTATGGCACACTTGCTGGAATGCTTGTTCTGGTCCAGCTAAGGCACTATAGTTGGGACGGTACCAACTAGAGTTGGGTTGGGATGTAGCAACTCAGTTTCCTGCTGAAATTTGTGTAAATTCTTCTTGATGCATGCAGTAGATTGTTCCATCAGTTCATTGAACGATTCTACTTGTAAATGCTATGGCTGGACGTAAACTGCTCTTCCTGCTTTCTGCTTGTGCCCTCCTGGCCTGCTGCCCCGCCTCGGGCAAGAATCCAAAGAGGCCTCCCAGTGCCGACAGGAGCCAGGAGGTGGCCAAGCAGGTCATCAAGATCCACCGAGGCAAGGAGCCCGGCGTCAGCGTGGGAGGGAGAACCAACCTTGGGGCCACGGGCAACCAGACCTCTAAGGAGGCAGCGGCACTGCTGATGATGAGGACCCTGGACGGCTGGCTGGGCAACTCCTGCCAGGCCCTGTCGGCCCTGAAGCAGACCAAGGAGCTGGTCATCCGCAAGCTGGACCGCACCATCGCCGAGGTGCAGCGGGACAAGACAGTGGAGCGGGCGGAGAAGCTGTTCCGGATCCACATGTTTGAGATCTTCCAGCGGGAGCTGAACGAGAGCGAGGATGCCATCCTGATGTCCATCAACGGACTGAAGAGAGCACTGGAGGTTAGTGGAAGCCCGTGCTGCTGGCATTCAGTCACAGCTTATCACTTTGAAATGCTGGTGTGGAATCGATACAAAATAATCACACAATTTGACCCTTGAAACCAAGTCACAGCCTGGTGCAAAGGTTATGGTTCCGGTACTAGAGCTGCCGATTTGGAGATCCTTATTCAATACCTGGCTGTAGAGGGCATTTTGAAATTTTTACGCCACCCAAAAAGTTATGGGATTATCCTTTTGCATTTGTTAGGTCAGTACCAGCTTTTGCTCCTTGCACCTGAAGCAGTTGTAAATTCTAAGACTAAACAAGTTTCCATAGCACGTACATACATGTGTACACTCTTTCTGAGAATGTGTGCTTGGGATTTTTCAAAGTGAAAAAGAAAGCCTTGTTGGTTATGAGATTTGTACCTAAGGCAAATTTTATCTGACTAAAAGTCAGAACACATTACAAAGTTTTAAAAAATTAATACTAAAAAAGTAATTCTTTTCAATTAACCATATCATCATTATGGTGAATTTCATTTAGCATACAACTGTATCCTGAGTCCATTTAATTCCTTTGTGCTGTATTTCCCACATTTGTCAGCAGTAAGTGTGAAGCGGGGTAGTGAGAGTACCACATCTCACAGAGCTTGGAATTTCCTTGGTTATTTGCTGACTTTAACCCCTTCGCGCCGGGAATTTCTTCCCAAAAGCCGACTCCAAGAATTCCAGCCTCACTTGGCCACGAACACGTTTTTGCCCTGCGTGCTCTGCACACTTTGAATTATACGGTGAAAAGGCTGATTGTTCGGTGGCATGCGGCTCTACTCATGCTTCCACATTCCCGTTGCCTCTTTTCAAAGTGGGGACTATTGTGAGGCTGGTGATAATGATGAAAATTCGGTCTTTTCATTTCTGGGCTACACACAAAGGCCAATCACCACATATACAAGAGCCAGGGTCTGCCTTCTTTCACCGTGTTCGCTCGAGCGCGGGCCAAGAATAATAGCTGAAAAGCGGGCTGAGGATTTCAATTTTTACGATGTGTCTAGCCGCGTCCCGGCGCGAAGGGGTTAAGGCCGATTCGTACTTGCCACTGAAAGCAGACACCGAGACAATTAGGTCACATCAGATCAAATATTCACAGTGCGAAATAACTACAGTTGTGTGCATCTCAATTTGAGCGAATTTCATGGCAAACTGTTTTGCAACAACAAGCTCGCTTTGTTGATGCATCCACTTTGCGTACAGACCGGCCTTGACCTGTCGTGCATCCCGCCTCTGCCACCAATTTCAGGGCAACTACAAGGACGTGCTGAACATGAAGGAGAGCAGCCGGCAGCGGCTGCAAGCCCTGCGAGAGGCCACGCTCCGGGAGGAACTGGAGTATAACGACATCTTGGCCGCTGAGAAGCACCAGAAGGCCTACCAGGAGCACCTGCGGCACTACAGCAATGCGTCCCTGGCCCGCCGCAGCAAGGTGGAGGCCATCCTGGACGAGATTCTCTCGGACGTGGCCGAGGCCGCCGACAACCTGGAGAACAGGATCGGGGAGCACGTCTTTGACCAGTCTAAACAGGTAAGCCAGAGAAAACGGGTTCACACATTGGTGAGATATTTGGCCTAGTGGTTCAAGGTTAGTAGCCTCTGATTATAGATCAGGTGTTCGAATCCTGGCAGGTTGTTACGTGTTGTGACCTAGAGCAAATCGCTTATGTATAACGCACACGGGAAACCAATTTTCGTGGGTTTTTTGATGCAATGATGCAGTGCAGTGATCAGCTCAGCTCATGAAACTTGGAGTCTATCATGTCTTCACACTGATACTGACTCACAGTAGTTAATTGAAATAATTAAATGTAAGTTTCACTAAATGGCGTCACTTCCTACGGATTGACATTTGAGATCGGCATTTTAGACGTCAAATTTTCATGATGCGTGTCAGCTTTGCCCTACTGCGAAAATATGGGGATCAACTCGCATGCATGTATGGAACATTTGCACATTACGCACACTCGCATGTGAACCGTAGTGGCATGATAAAGCAGAAGTAAGTTTCCTACAAAGATGGTGCCCCGTGAGAGCAATCTATGTATAGAGCTTTCCCTGACACCAACCGATCTTAAAGCGCTCTACAATTACAGTTATTATCAGACCAGTTGAAAGCCTATACCACTGCACGTCTTGTTTTTGCCCTCACAAGTGTCCATCTATACACTTGGGTTCAGAGAGAGTCTCGTAGGGGTAAGTGACTTGCACTAGGCCAGTCTATGTTACCAGCTGCCGGATTCATACCCCCCACCCTCTGATCCCTGGGCCACCCTCCCCAATCGGACACTTGTGCTCGGAACCTTCCCGAGCGTATCTGAAATCTGTCATTGTGTATATGTACATGTAGGAAACAAGGGGCACCTCCTTGTCAATTGGAACTTCTAGGAGCATCAAGACCCATACAAAAATCTTACGAAACTGTACCAAAGTTTGAAGAATCTTGAACGTGGAAGACGTCAAGGGTTAAGGTCCTCATTTACTTTTCAACCTGGGTAGGCCAAAGGAGCACACGTGGAAGCCGTGGTTCGCCTGGATGATGAGGATATTGTGAAAGTACGCCGAGCCAACGGCGCCCACCAGGTGAGCAGGCAGCAAGGGATGAGCCACCTGATCGACGCCAGCGACAACCAGTACGTTTTGGCCAAGCCCAAGGACACCACAGTGCCCCTGGAGGACCACCACTTGCTGCAGGTGAGAGGATTCACAGAATGGACCCCGGCAACAGTTTTGAGCTAGAAACATGGTGTGAACTTAAACTCCAGTTTTCACATGAGGTACCTCATACCCTTTTCAAGATGCGATGGCATTGTGTACATTCCAACGAAAATTGGTAACTCACACTCCATGTTGTACAGACTAATCTAGCAATCAGAATCAGAAGCCATTACTGTGGTGGGAGGACCTTCATGTGGTGGTTATATCTGCATGTCAAGTACCTGTCTGAACAATCGGATGTTTAGAAATTTTGCCAAATGCACCTTTAGTTTAAGAATGCATGCAACATGCACATTAATATAGTACCACTATAGATGAGCCTATGGATATGTTGAACACCAACTGCTTCTCAATACACCAGGCTCCCATGACGAGACAGTATGGGTTTGTGCACATTCAAATGAAAACTGGTCATTTATACATTGTGTACTGTATGCATGAACTAAGCATTAAAGTTCATGTCTGTGCAGAACTTAGGGATAGGTGCATTATTAGGAAGTATTAAGTGTCATTAGTGGAGACCTGACTATATACTCATTCCTCATTTTGGCAGATAAAATTTGGCATGAAAGGTAAACAGGTGTGTAACAGCAAGCTCATCAGAGAAGGATTAACAGCCAGAAAGATACCGGCTACTTATTCCTCACTTTGATAGATCAAGCTGTGTTGGTTAGAATACTTAGAGACATGACTATGTTGATTCGTCTTGATTAATGTTTACCAAGGACATCCTGCTGTTGTCCATCCTGGCCTTCCTGTGTGGCTGGATGTGTCTGTCACTTGGCCTGCCCACCATGTTCGGCTACACCATGGCCGGGGTCATCCTAGGGTCGTCCGGACTCAACCTGATCAAAGTAAGGCCACAGCCGAAAGACTGGCCACCGCTGTCAATGGCCAGGGCTTCCATGGCTACACATATCATTCCCAGTCATAGCCACAACGTTTAGACAAAGTCTAAGGTTCACAACCTCATTAAGTGAGCAAAAGCAACACACAGAAACATCTGAAATCTCATCGGTGACTGCCACACCCTCCGTGTACTCTGAATGGCCTCGTTCTCAAGTGTGCAACATGCATATATTTTAATGAAGTTCAGAGGTCATCAAAACAATTATACACTAACTGGTTGAACAACTGAAAAACCATAACCAACCTCTTGTTTACTTTTGAAAGGTGAGTCTTGCAATGTTTGAATTCTCTTTGTAAATCAATCAAAAACTTGCTTTCATGAGGCCTAAAAATATATCCAAAGATCAGTTCTTTAAGCAATTTTGTTCAGAAAGATTGTTAAATTGGTCTCTGTACTGTCCTGTGACATTGATCCATTTCCACCGCTACAGTAGTCTCTACAGTTGACCTTTGCTCCCTTCCCCCCCCCCCCAACAGGCTTTGGTGCAGTTTGAGACGTTGGGAGAATTTGGCGCTTTCTTCATTCTGTTCACAGTTGGCTTGGAATTCTCGCCGGAAAAAATCAAGAAGGTATGACGTGGTGTGGTCTTTCATCTTTCATTACTTCCCATTGAATTGATTCTGTCCTCTGCTTTTGCACATTAAGTGTTTTTTACTTTTAAAAAGTACATATTTTCCTCAAGAGAAATTGAGTTATGATTCATTCATTTTGGATAATATTTAATAATGATGATGAACTGTGCAAATTATTACAATATTTTTTGGGGGGGGGTGGGTGGCAGTGTTGTATTCGAGTCCATCACAAGTTCCTGTTAGTCCATTCACAAGTCATTCAGTCTTAAGCCAATTCACAAGCTATTCAAATGAGCTGTGACAAAAGCATTCTTTTGTCATTGTTCACCCTGTTACTTATGACTGGCCTTGCGAAGCACGGACGTATATAAAAAAAAACGGGACTTGCAACGCCTCTGTATGAAATTGAAGCCAACCGGCGGCCATTTTACCGAGCGCAGGTTGGCTCGCTTCTATTGACGTCAGGGAGAACAAAGGCGGGCATTGCCAGGCAAGCTTTGTATTCGGCTCGGTAAAAAGGCCGCTAGTGGATTCAATGATCTCTATAAGCTGATTAAAGGCATTGCAAGTCCAAATTTGTTTATACACATCCGTGTTGTGAAGGGACTTGTGACTGGACTTGTGAAGGAAGTTGTGACTGGACTTGTGACTGGACTTGTGAAGGGACTTGTGACTGGCCTTGCAAAGGGACTCGTGACTGGACTTGTGATGGACTTGAATGCAACCCGGGGGTCGAAAGCAAGAGAAATACTCTCTGCATTTTTCCTCCGATTCGACCTCTTCCCCTTTCTCCCTACCATCTGCTCCAGGTTTGGCGTATCGCCGTGTTTGGCAGCATCGCCATGACCGTTATCATGATCGTGTTTGGCGTGGTCTTTGGCTACATCGTGAATATCATCCCAGGCGAGAGCGCCTTCATCGCTGCCTGTCTGTCCCTGTCCAGCACCCCCCTGGTGGTCAAGTTCCTGGGCGTCGGACACCCCAAAGATGACAAAGACATTGGTGAGACAACCCCCGTTAGATTCAATTCAGAAGTTTGAGGAAGGAGTATTGGACTTTTGTAAGGGAGGGGTGGGGACAGACCTTCACAGAGGGGAGCAATTCACCGTGACAGATTCCCCTCTTCCTCTTCCCTTTTTCTTAAATTTGCTATGAATTTTGGGTTGCCCAAGAAAATACTTATCCATAACTGCAAGTTGAAAACCTGTTAGATGTGGTGAATCTGGTTTAGACACGGGACGTAATAGCAAGCGAGTCACAAGAACCCAGGGCCAACTTCTCTCTCTTTTGAACAATTTCGGACAAGAAGCTCTTCTTTTTTCATTTATCCCAGTCCTTGCACCTCAGGAAAGCACATCGTGTTTAGTAAAACTAAAGGGCCTTAAGGCTTTTTCCTTTTTTTTCCCACCATGAAAGATTTCAAGTTCTGTGACATTCCGAAAGTAGTTATACCAACTTGTCACTCATTTTGTTTGGTTGGGTAAAGATGCCGAAACTCTGTGTGAAATACATTTCTTTGATTCACTTGCATGCCTATTATGCCAGAATTATGGCTGAGCTCAATCCTACCACATCATTCCAACCTCGCTTGGGAGATGTTGATCGATCTTGGAAGATCAGTGCTGAGCTGTTTTTATTTTTTAACCCCCCCCTCTCTTTCTCGCCCAGCGACGGACACAAGCGAGTTCGAGTACAGCTCCACCCTGCTAGGGATCCTCGTGATGCAGGACGTGCAGCTGGGCCTGCTGGTGGCCATCCTGCCGGCCCTGGCCGGCGTGGAGACGGCCTCGGCCGCCGGCCTCAGCCCCAAGGTAGGGGACCAGGACACGGCCAGCCTGGTGGTGGATTTCTTCAGCATGGTCTTCCTCCTGACAAGAGTCTTGCTGGGTGAGCTTAAACACTGTTTATACCGAGCTTCCTTGTCGTCAGGGATGTGGATGCTGTTGGCAGTTGCAGAAATCCAGGTTGATTGTAGTTTCAAATAGAGGCGGTGCGTGGGAGCCATCTTTAGGCTTGGATGGTGCCGCATCTTTTTTAATACTGCTGTATTCATGATGAAAATACCTCGATATGCACTAATACCGTGATATTCTTTAAAGCGTGATATCAGGTGTGCGTCATCAAAAAGCAGCTACGATAAGCGGCAACGTTCACTGGGAATGTCAACAACTATTTCTGACTTCCGGTCGGACTCTAAAGCTATACCTCCTGGGGGGAGGGGAGTTAACCCCCATTGCTACGCCACCGTCTGCTTGATGTCAACAGTAACACTCTAGCTCATTAAGCAGCATTTAGTTCTATCAGCCAAACTTTCAAATCAGCCAATCATTCAAAGCTTGAAGCAAAATCATTCACGGTGCCACTTCTGGTGTTTTTGGCGTTCGTTTTCAGCCGTCGGCGCGGTGGTCCTGCTCAGCTTTGCCGTGACCCACTACGTCATGCCCTTTGCCATGCAGAAGCTGCGCTCGTCGGGCAGCAAGGAGATCATGATCATGGGCAGCGTGGCCCTGGCATTCAACATGCTCATGGTAAGCCAATCTTGCTTCACGTGGCTCCAATTTGGCCTCGGAACGACACGCAGGCTTTTAACCCCTTCGCGCCGGGAGATGGCAAACACCGCGGCTCTGTGGGAGGATTAGTGCATACCACACATACGTTCCATTCATCATGCACCTGCGGTTTCAATGTGGGCCTGCTGCTGGACAGGGCTTTGCATACCAGGCATACCGCAGCCCAGCAGCCGTGGTCAAAAGAATCCCGGCATGAAGTGGTTAACATCTGGACATACTGTTTTTCAACCTCATCATTAAATCTAATTTCCAATTTTAAAGAAATCTCACCGAAAATAAAAAAAATTGAAAAAGCAGACTTCAAGATAATTGTAATTTCCCCCGTCTTTTTGTTGTTTTCAAAATTCTCTTTTTTTGTGAGAATGGCCTACGATGACGAGGCCTACCAGCCTTGGACCACATTTCACATCTCTCTGTCGACTCCCCCCCCCTCCTCCCAGATCACAGACCTGCTGGGCGTGTCCATGGAGCTGGGCTGCTTCCTGGCGGGTGTCATCCTGAGCTCCATGGGCCACGCCACGGCGGAGGAGATCCGGGGCCTGGTGGAACCCATCCGGGACTTCTTTGCCGCCCTCTTCTTTGGTGCCATCGGTGAGCCCGTGTGACACTTGGACAGCGTTGTTCAAATTGTCTTTTGTATTGTCAGTAAATTGAGTCCATTGCAAGTTTCTTCGCGATTTCAGTTACAACTCCTTTCGCAGAGCAGTAAAATGGTGAACACCAACAAAGGAATGCTGTAGTCATAGTTATTTATATATTTTTATTTATTTACCAATTTCTGAGTATGTCAAGGGTTGTGGGAAAGACTAGTAGCCTGTTGAAATCGCTCCCCGAATAGGCAAATTACAATTGTCATGAAAAGATACAATAAAAATTTTGGTAACAAGGAATTGAAGTGGAAGAGTTCAATGCCATAAGGCATTCGCACAATATTCAATATTACACCGTATTCATCAACAAAGACAAAAATGACAAGGACAAAGAGACAAGCAGGGGGTGAAGGGATGTGCCCAGGAGCACAACTCATGGCCAGCACCTGGATTCGAGCCCCACACCCTCTGATCCCGACGAATGAACCCCGACCACGAGGCCATCTTCCCCTCTGAGCTATAGCTCAGTTGGATGGGGTTTTTTGCTTTTTTTCCTCTAAACTTTTGAAAAACTGACATTTATTTGTTTTTGTTTGCAGGACTTCACGTCTTCCCTTCTTTCGTCTTTTACGAGCTGACGTTTTTGACGAGCCTGACACTGATAGTGGTCGCGATGAAGGTAAGCCAGCCTTGTGGCGGTGTTAAGGCAGAAATAACACGGCTTCACGCGAGTGAGCAGGAGGTCTTGAGTTGGAGTTGCACCCGATTCTCAGCTTGTGGAAAACATGGAGTGCACTTGCTATGGAACATTAGGTATTAACCCCAACAGTCCCAAATCCTCCAATTCCAACACGATTTTACATACACCGTTGGGGGGTCGAGGTAAAAAAGGGCACATCTTAAACCATAATATTTGGTACCACCAAAATGCAACAGTCAGTCAACATCAGTGGAAAAGGGGCTAGGGTATAAGCACAGAATCCAATTAATTTCGACATAATGCAGCATTTTATAAGCTCTGATTTTGCGTCAGGCAGGTGTTCATTTTTCTAGTGGCCTTTATGCCCTTTGCCAGAAAACACCAAGTCTCGTGAGGGGCAGTGAACACCCAATGTAAAAATTAACAGCATGTCGCGGTCAAAATAGACCCAACTTGAAACGACTTTGACCAGTTTGCGGGATGGAACTTACCACAGTGCCTCAAATCTAAATTTACCTCCCTGCCAAGTGTGAGCAGGCCTAGACACCCCTTCTGGATTTTGTTTCCAGCGTCTTGGTGTACGTGTAAGTCTCTTTCCCAAATAGGCTACCAGAGCCGCAACGAAGTCTGTCTTGCGCGTACCTAGACGCAACATTCAAACAGCCCTGAATTTCTCTTTCGGTCACTCCCCTGCACCCCCCCAGTTTTTCACGGCCATCTTTGTCCTCGGAATCTTCCTTCCCCTGAGCAACCGGCACATCAAGTGGATCGTGGCCTCAGGGCTGGCCCAGGTCAGCGAGTTCTCCTTCGTTCTCGGGAGCAGGGCCCGGCGACTCGGCCTGCTGTCCAGGGAGGTAAGAGTTCAGCCTGGACTTTTTTTGGGGGGGGGATTTCAAGATTTATCGACCCCCAAATTGTGGAGATGTACAGGTTTAATCGGTCACGTGTTGCAGCATTTTAGCACTTTGGGGTGAAATGTAAGTGTACGATTCACATATTTATAGCCATTGTGAGAGATTGTGTTTTTAGCATGGTGTTCACCCCTCCGACAATCAACAAGTTTCATCAATGATACTGGCGTTTCCAAGATACGCAAATGAACGCAGAGCTATGTGTTTGCCTTCCAGGTGTACCTGTTGGTCCTGAGCGTGACCACCCTCAGTCTGCTGCTCGCCCCGGTACTGTGGAGGGTGTCGCTATGGCGATGCAGGCGCATCCAACACCGTCCGACTGTGGTCAGGTGACGCCAGAGGTGAAACCCCACTCCTTAAAAAAAAAAAATCCATTGATGACCAAACTGCGGCAATGTTCAGTATCTCTCTCGAGAATCCGTAAAGTGTTCACTTTGGTTGATGATATGTACTCTGGGATGTTGGAAAGAACTGCTATAGACCTTTTTCCTGGGATGTGAAGATGGTGCTCGACCTACGATGCGTTGTGATGGTAACGAGTGCATAGTGTTGTGATGGTAATCTACCTATTCATGATAAACCAATCAAGCATGCGGGGTTTGCACGTGCACTTGCCCGTGGTTGAAGCTGCCCTTAGGAATACATGCAATCACCGTGGCCAAGGCGGTCCACGCGTGGTGGTATTGTTTACATTTAGTCACTAGGGTGAACAAGACTATGGAACTCGCTCGTTTAGCAGTAGTAAAAACCTGCAACATTTTTGCTGGCGACCTTCCTAAGTGGTCCAATAACCACCGCTGCAGGAACCCATTTTCACATTCCCTGGCCCTCTCTTTTCAAGGATCATGTTCCTTGGTAAAGTGACATTCGATAAGCCAAATGGAAAATGTTGCTCTGAAAAAAAAAATGAATAGAGACCCAAGCACAAGTTAATCAAAATGGTGCAGCACTTTGAATCTGTGCGTACTGAGAGGGAGTTTTCCGATGCCATCAGCCTTGGCGACCGACTTCAGAACATGGTAGTTACCCTTCGGTGGCTTTGGTTACCCCGTAAATGCATCGATGCTGGACATTGAACATCATATTGGTTGTCGATTCTTTACCTGTAGCTTCAGCGTGTGTACTTTCTTTCTTGTAGATATCTTCTGGCTGGGCTCAGCGACGCGATCTTCAGAGGTTCATTGACAGTCAAAGAAGTATAGCAGAACTGGGACTTCAAAGCTTGTGTGCTTCTTAAAGCAATAATTGTGTCGTAGCTTTCTGTTTTTGCTTTTTTTCCCCTGTCTTTCAAATGTGTTTTAGCCACCTCTTAGCCGCTCTGTCAAAAGGAGGAATAAGTTCAAATAACTTATTTGTGGGTCAAGGATCAGAGGTTATCGGTCAAAGAGGCTTTGTGGTAGATCTGTAGATGGCACCGTCAGCCAACGCACAGGTGCAAATTGTAGCTCTAGTGGTGCGGGTTTTCCTTTCAGTTAAGTAGTACAGGTAGTCTTTCCTTAAATGAGCATTTACGCTTCTTGCTTTCATTCCATGAGGCTGTTTGTCTTGTCTTATCCGGGGACTGCATTAACCACTACCCGCCGAGTGGATTTCTCTTGAGCGGGATGTGATGGCGGGACCTTTTCAAGATTTTCCGTTTTCAAAAATCTTCAAAAATTCATGTGTTCATTTACTGGACGTCTACACCCACACAAATGACTCTCTGGTGGCTACTCTTATCTGTCAGGCAACCTTCATTGACGCCCAAGTATTCAACCCAGGCCTACAGCCCTGTAAAAGAGAGCCCAGACTTGTGTGGTGTTGCATAATTTTCTTTGTTCCGGTGAATGCCAGTAGCGTCTTTTCATACGCGGCTGGATTAGCGAGCAGCGGCACTGTGTCACTCATCAATGGGGCCCTGGAGCACTTCTGTCTGCGGTGCTAATCCGTGGGCGCTTTATGCCCAAAACAGCTGTATATGTATACTACTTCAAAACAGTGCCGGATTACCTTCGAAAAATGGAAGTTGAAAAATGGTGGCAGTTCCCAGCAGCAGGTCCTTTGTTCCGAGTACAGTCTTTTGTTACACATACCAGCTCTTTTGTCCGAAACCTGGCACCCCAGCTCTGTGTATAAACATATGGTGCCCAAAACCAGGCTCCCCAACAGGAAGTAATTAAGAAGGCATGTCACTGAAGTGGTACCTTACTCGTGCATGTTGCACGCGATTGTTCAAAGATTTGAGGCGCGCGTGCCTCATGGGAACCCTTTTTACCAAAAGATCGCCAAAGGCACGTGGTCAGCCGGTACATAAGCATAGTACCCTCATAGAAATGCTGTCTGATTGCGGTCACCATATAGTCTGTTGATTTCCACATCTTTAAAAAAAACGGACAAGTGTAATGATTATAACGTTTGTGAAGTTTAAAGAATTCAGGAGTGCTGACAGGTAGTGAAAATTCTGTTTTGGATCAAAGAAGAGTATGGCGTTTATCGACCAAGTCACTGACTAAGCACACTCACTGTACATGTTAATAAAAGACTGTTTTCGTTTATATCGTTCTGTTCATATAAAAGTGACAACAACCCCCATAGATTCATAAAAATAGTTGAGGGGCGGTAGTGATTCTCATACTGAAAGGGGGAAGGCTCAGGACAATGTCATAAGCTGAGCAAGGGGGAATTGTCAACACCCCCCCCACGTACCTTCGACTTGACACTTGTAAAGATACTTGTCGTCATGCCCTCACGAGCAACTTGTGTACGCTTGAGAATCTGAATTTGAGCCTGACTCGCCACAGCGAGTTAATAACCGGCTGCAGCAAGAGAATAACTCGGCCGATAACTCACGAGGAATAAGTACCTCCAAATATTTTTTTTTTCATCACAACTTGGAGGATCCTTCCATTTTAATTCTCCCCAAGTGAACAGTGGTCTGGTACTAGGATTTGTGAATAAAAAACTTTTCTATGTTTACCCATACATTCCTCTAACACCCCCCCCCAGCATAGGTGGTTGTCCTCAGTGAAATAAAGTGTTTTGTGGATAGTTTTTCAGTTTCACCACGAAGTGGCGTATCGTGGATAGTTGCAACACCACAACATGACGTCGTGGATAGTTGCCACACCGCGAAGTGACATCGTGGATAGTTGCCCCACCACAACGTGACGTATCGTGTGCGCAAAATCTATGGACGGTACATTACTTCGTGGTGAACCCGACGACTTATTTAGCTGCTTATGTCATGCAATAGGTACAGAGTGGGTTCAGCTTGAATATTTTTGTACCATTTATTTTTTTCTAGAATAAGATGTCTCTGTGCTTTAAGCATTTACGTTTGAGATATATCGAAGCTATTTAACAAGAAACAGTGCAGGCCATGAAGAAGTACCTTGTTCTTATTTTTTTTTTCAGTTTAGAGGACTTTGCGTTTTATTTATCTAAAAATTTATTTTAGAATATTCGTACAGAAACGTACTTTTTGAGGATAAGTCTCCGCAGCTTGTATACTTGTATCATTCCTTTTGATTACCTTACTCATTTCAAAAGTAATTAATTGCGTGAATCTCGCCTATCTGAGGCTACAATAATTTATATTTGTTTGTGATTTTTTTTTTCAATCAGCATGAATGAACATGTCGACGGGTAGATATGCTACGATTCCTTTAACAGTTTTTTGTTGTCCTGTGGTATTAAAAAGGATTATAAGCTCCTCCCCGACACACACAGATCTTATGGTTTTTCTCGTTTTATTAAACTTTTCGAGTCTGGTAAAAAGTATTGTGTCACCTGCAAGGCATCGAGATGTTCTTTCGTAAGTATCGCTCCGCGCCTTCATCTTGTCTGCTTATTTAAGCAGTCATTTATTTCAACGTGGCTCGTTTTGGCTTTGTGCCTGTTTGGAATCGATTCGTATAGGTTAGGCGAAACCCACCCTTTTCCTGTCTTGTATCGTCGCCGCGCAGTGTTAACTACGGAGCTCTAGAGATGCCATCTGAGTTGTTGAGATCGGAATTTGTCGGGCCAGGATGTTAATCGAGGTTATTCATTGCTGGCATCCCCATGGTGTCTCAAAGGCTGTTTCTGTTGTTTTAATTTTTTTACAACGAACGCACTAAATGTTTACACGGGCCCATCCTCTTGATAAAAAAGTTTTGCCCTCCGAGGACGCATTAACGCATAACCTCTATACTTAGAATGGCTACATCATGGTACGGTGTATTTCAAAGTCACGACAATTAAGCAAAATAGGTGCTCGGGGTGATTAAGGCCTCAGTGAGCCGGTGGGGTTGAAGACGATGCCGTGTGCGTGCCCTTAAAAATATCTCTCATGGTTCCGACCAACCATGGCAACGACTGGGTGGAAGGTTGCGACTTCCTGAGACACCTCGTTGGCACCGTCCTAGCTCCGTAGCAACAGCTCTTGAAGACGTGGCACGATTTGGGCATGTTATCGTTTTCAAAAGGGAGACAAAGCGCCAACATAGGCCATCGCATTAGTGGCACAAATTTGATTCGCAAGACCCTCGAAAATCTCATTTTTCTGAAAAGGTTGTGCGCTCATTGCTGAAGTTATGCAGGTTGATGTCCGGTCGTCAAACTTTCGTCGGTTAAAGAGGATACATGTAAACATCTTGTTAGATTTTCGTGGTACATTATGTAGGGGTTCGCGACCATTTCATTCGGTGCAGGGATATGGCCACTTTTCTATTGGGAAGTCAAAGCCTTTGATAAAGTCAGCACGTGTAATCAAAAGCAGTTTATCACTGATGTTTTTCGATCCTGTATTTGTTCTAAAATTATGAACTAGCGCGGCATTGCTCAATGGAACACTGGCGTCATTGCCTGATTAATATTTGGCATTGTTTGCTTACGAATACAATCGTTGATCCGTTTGTTGAACCTTGCACTGTGCCCGCAAGCAGTTCGCCACGATACAAAATTCAGGTAATCAATTTTTCTCCCAAAAAATGTAATAAAAGAAATATGTGCGGAGACTTTTGAGAGGAATGCAAAGCAACTCGGACGCGGGTGGGTATCCAATGGCGTGGATGGTCGGTGCGGATGCGGCGAGCGAGGACAGCGGTACAGACCCTGGCAGCGACGCCTGGTCGACCGCAGACGACTCGTGGGACGACGCCACCTGTAGCTATCCCGGTTACCGGACTTTGCTCCTCCGAAGGTGAGTTGCACATGTCATCAACGGTCGGCCCAGCTCACCTAGTTGTGAGCCTCAGAAAGGTCAACACCGGGTACGGGAAGTTTGCGGGTGGTTGTGGGTGCATCTATAATCTGGCACTTACATGCATTCTTCCATATTTAAAAAGGCATAATATTATAATCAACATGCATCTCTATCAGCCAATATTTTGGTACGGAGGGTTACAATTGCAATGTGTACTTCTCATTTTTTCATAATAGAAAGTCCACGGAGCTGCTAATCCATGTCCGAATTAATGTTTAGCGTTGGCTCTTAATCTAATTAACAAGAGAAAGTTAAATAACAAAGAGTTATGTAATTATTACGCCTGATTTCTTCGGCCTATTATTTCTTAGTCTTTGTTGAATCGCAACAAAATGACGTCCAAATAACGCTAGTTCAAATTATTTCAACGACACATTCCATGACGAAAATGTATCATGATTAAATCGGTAAAATGGATGACAAAAACGAATTTGTTTTTTCCGATTCAACGTCATTCCCGGAGTGAGACGAACATGACGACAAATTGGACGAATGATTGTGGTTTTTGTGATTTACAATGCTCTGAAAGTGAAATCTGGTGGATTTTGAAATTGGAATCAACATTTAGGACGAGCGACCCCTCTTTGACGAAATTAAACTTTCATTGAATCAATTTTAAATGAAAGAAGTGCTAAATTAACTGAAAAAACCTATACCAAGGTATTATAATTATTTTAATTTTATTAATTTATTCAGGCAGATTCAAAATACACAACACGAAATATTCATACAAAAAAGTTATGTCATAAATATAATATTAAAAAAATAAAATATATGAAAAGAGATCAATACGGATTGAAAAAGGAGGCACACATAAAAACAGTAAAAGGTAAAACAGGGTGTGCGCCCATCAAGACTTTTCCGAAGTGTCCATACCCGGAGAAAGCAACCAACACAAATCTGCAGGGTACCCTCGACCTTAGGCTCCGCCCAACACCCGCCTTCCGGATGTCGTAAATTTAGGCCAACATGTTTTTCTGCGTGGAGCTCGAGCGGCAGTAACGTAATCATGCGTGTTTTTTTTTCCCGTTGGGCCCGCGACTATGTTTTCCTTCTTCATTCATGGTGACAATGCTGTCTTTTTTGAAAGGAGCCCCCGACGTTAGGCACTCCTCGAAGCCTGCGCCATTTACAGATCGCTTTCAAGTTGTGCACTTACCCGTACGTTGTCGTTTCTGTTGGTGTGCATATCGGATTTGATCTTCGGCCTGTACAGAGATTTTATACGGCAGAGGAGTGCCGATATGTGTAAAGTATATCTACCTAACCCAAAATATGCTTATTTGCTCAGGTGTTTGAAATGGGGACATTAACATAAGTTATTGCCATGTTCAGATGTAACCCTAGTACTTCAAAGTGCATTTTTCCGTGTTGCCAACACAAGTGCGTATTAAGTAGGCCCTGTAGTCATTGCTCCCCAATACATGTCACGTCGAAAAAGATCTGGCGGTTTTTGAAGCGATCCCTAACCCCAAAGAAATAGTCAAGAAGGCTTCTCATAAAAGCTGGAAAGACACCGATTCGTGGGGTGAAGGAATTTTGTTGTCTTGACTCACCCGATTGCTTTGTAAGGAAACGAAACCGACACACATCAGCAACAATTGTTGTTCAACACAACAACGTGTACAGTTTATGATAAACACTGGGAATCGCATAATGAATTGGGCAGCAAAATCTTTTTTGTGACGGGAATATTGTTGATCAAACTTTCCGTGGTTATGAGCCTCATAAAATTGGCAATTGATTACAATTTTCCTTTAATTAATTAAGTTCGCCCCGAGTAATGCATTGATGTGCAGGTTTGTCTGAAAATTATGCACACTTCGAAAAGTGCTAGATCCCAAAGTTGATCAATAAATTTGAAATTCCTTGCATCCGGTAAGTTTAGTTTAGTTATGTTGCCGGCTTTGATAGTCCCCGGACACTGAAAAAAGGTATGCATGTCTTACTTGGAGACTTCCATTAGTCAAGAAAAGTCACCGTTGGAGAGAAACGAGAACATGACTGCGACCCCCACTCGGAGAATTCAGAGTGAAATTCTTTGGGGATTTTTTAAGAGTCAAGGAAACATGCCCCTGTATTATTCAGCAAACGTGAGAGAAACAATAAACCCCACAGAACGATCTTCCCAAATTTTCAATCAAGAATATCCCCGCGCCCAAAACTCCGTTTTGTTGGCATCTCACTCCCACCACCGAACAGTGCTTTAAAATCCACCAGCCAATTGAAAAATGTTCGTAGAACAGAACCATATAGGTTGAACCACTCCTGGCTGACTCGGTGTTTTCGGGCTGTCGACTGTACCTCCTTTAACCCTTGTACCCCGTACCCCATGCATGGTTTTGTTGATAGGAACTAGACTAGGAGGGTAGGGACAATAGGACATGCTTAATATGTGGTGACTATACTGGGGACATGTACGCATTGGCAGGTTAACACCTCCATATAACCTTCCGGTGTACCACTCAGTCGTATGCCCCCAATTGTCTCTAAGGATGTGGACCCCCCCTCATGGGTCGAGCCAGTGCTTCGCCATGCCTCCTCCCCGAAAAGTCACTCGGAATGACACCCAATGCACAAATTGTCGTGATACACTCTTAATGAGCGAGTTTCCGCTGTTATTGCCATAATTCTTCTTCCCTTGATCCCCCGTAGGATTCGGCAGGCGCATACTCGTTAATTCGATTTGCCGCGCTAACGATCTGGAGATACCCTTGAACTTTTCGACTAGACACACTTGACGGCAGAAGAGACAACTCTTGATGCCAGGGGTTCCGCACGTACGGGAAAGGGGAGTGGTTCGAAAATTACTGAAGGGTGTGTTGAGTCCCGAGAAGTACGTTTCGGAAGGAATCGGATTAACAAGCGTAATTTTCAGCCTTGGAAATGCTTATCTGCCTGGATGTAATCAAAACGATTGCTTGGCAGAGTGGAAGGCGAAAAGGCAAAATGAGATTCAGTAATACTGAAAAAAGCAACACATCGGTACCCATTACTATAGAAAATGAGTCGGCCTCCCATGGTCTCTAACTCTCCCCTCCCTGTGAAATTATTTCTTCTGGCAAGCTGCCTTTTCCCTTTTCAGCTTTGAAATGACGTAACAGGGGTGATGTTGGGAGTTTCTGACATGACAAGCCTGATGTGGACAAACATCCAAGTGTGGGTCCCCCGTCTATGGGTGTCAATAGGTGGGAGACTGGGGACACCCCCCCCCCCACTTTTCCAAGTGGGGGATACTACATCAATTGTCCCCCCCCCACACACACACACGAGTGTGTATTTGCTTGCAACTGGGGACCCCC